TCTCTTAAAAATAAATTTGTGGGGCAAAATGTGCAGGTACCTTCTAAGCAATTTCTGTGAAATTAAGAGTGTGGTATGCCATTTTCCATGGTACTGAGAAACGCTCCCCCTTGTTGTTAGGCGGCAACACCATCAGTGTGTGTGTGCAATCACTATTGTTTGATGTCCACAGTCAGGACATTGCTTACTTCCTGTGATAAGCATAAGGTTGTCAGTGTAATTCTCTCTCTAATTTTGAGTTATGCCATCCTCCCCCATGGCAGCCATTTTGTGACTGGCACCCCCAACACTCTCCCAAAAATTGAAATGTGTCCCTGGTCCAGAAAGGTTGGTGACTCCAGAGTTATAAGAATCATATCAATCTATATCAAAGAATTTGTACCTGGAAGTAATTGATCTCAACTTACTTTCCTAGAGGGCTAAAGAGAACTGCCTTACTTAAATTCCATTGAAACCCAGGACTCTTACTCCCAAGTCTTACAGCTTTCCTTTTTTTAATTTCTCAACAAATTACTTGCCTCGGTCTCCTGTGCGAGAGTGCTCAGCTTTCTTTGAAAACAATTCAATAAAAGCAACTTTAATGAAATTGCGCTGCTTCAGATTGTGTCCTTCTCTGCTTTAAATGAAAAGATGTTTGGAAGAGCCCTTGATATTTGCAAACCGCAATGTCAGTATCATGGAGATTATTTACTTGATGAGTTAAAGGAAAGGTCATAGGGGTTAGACCTAGTGGGAGGGGAGTGGTCTTGGTTAACTATTTAACCTATGGTAGTACTTCATCATTTTATGGTTGAGATCAATTATTCTAGGTCTTTGTCAGTTCTCTTTCGGTTTGTAGTTAGTCCTATCATTCCTTGAAAGGAAACCCTTTTTTCTATATACATCATTTTTAAATTAATTATATTGTGACATCAAGCGGGAGAAAATAATTGAAGCCTACAGTTATAAGCAGACTTAGGTTCCATTTGAAATCAGGAAACTTAGCATCCAAGTAAATGTATGGAGGATGTTGTTAAAGTGCCACAAAAAATAAACAAAGACTTTAGATTAAAACATTTGATTGGTGTTATTGTTTCAGCTCGGGTTCTCTGCTGCCTTGTTGTGCATCCTTTAAAACAACAGCAAGGTAACCAGTAATGTTTCATGCACCGTTTATATTCTTCTATCTCCAGTAAGAATAAACCTACCTATTTTAGCAGTTTATTTGCAGAGGGTCACTTGGAAGCCTCCCTTTTTCTCTCTTGCTAACCGGTTTGGTTTTCCAGCAGGCAACTGCTCTGTGGTGTCACCGATCCCAATCTGTTCCTTTGAGATCCAGGGTTTGTCATTGCTGGGGTTATTTTTTAAAAATAGCATTACTAACCCCTTCCCCCCGTGTTTTTCTGTTGCTTGCACTGGACTGTGTACTTTCTCGGGCTTTTGTAATAGCTATTTTAATCATTGTAGGCAGTTTCAACTGGAGACACTGTCCTTAGTGCTGATTTCACTTACAGTCGGCTTGAACCTGTTTGTGCCCATCTGTTTTAGCAGAGTCAGTCTCTTATTTGCAGCAGAATATGAGGCTCATTATGGAGGCCATATTATGAACTGAATGGTGTTTCTAAGGTTGTGTTTTTAAAAGCTCAAGTTCCCCAAACCCTCAGAACGCAGCATCTAATCTTCCACTGAAACGATCTGATTGGCATTTTTAGATGGAAAAGGAGGCTGTGACATTGTTTTGAAAAAACAAAACTTCCAAGCAGTTGTTTGTTATAAGGGGGGAAAGCAGGAAAACCATATATATAAGGTGTGTGTTTGATATGTTGGTTGGCATGGTTTTGGTTTCTGTATCAACTTAATTAGAGAATGTTGCTAAATCCACACCATTTGGAGTTGCTAGATCAACTGCTGTGAAACATCTGGATATCAAACATGTTGCTTCCTTAATTGGCCACCAATTCCTTGAAATTAACTTTAGACTTGTGACGCTAAACTTTCTAGTAAATCTCTTTCAGATCAGCGCTTTATAGGCAGCTATCAAATGCTATGCCAGGCTCCTCTGCAATAATGAAGGAAATATGTGTTTTGAACATTGGATAAGCTGAACAAAAGCATTAAAGATGATTCAATTTTTTTATATATTACATCGTTTTTAACAATTACAATTGGAACTGGGGCCTTCTGTAATAAGTCTGTTTGTTTCTCTTCCTCTTGATATTTTTATTTCCCCATTTCAGATGGGCTTCTGTAGGTTCTTGCCACTTCAAAGGTCAGAAAGTCCCTCCTCTTTCCTCTTGCTTCACAATGCACACTAGGAGAGAGGCGTTTTCCTTTTCTGCATATTCCTCCTCTTGATCTGTGCGATATTGTGGTTGACCAGATTTAAAACACTACAGTATTTAGGATCCCTGCAGTGCCATTTTAGGTATTTGGACCTGGAAAGTGCCCCTGGCAATAACTACCTGAATTTCTTTTAATTACATAATATAGCTGCATTTACTTCGGATTCTTTTTGACTGACGCTGTAAGGCAATTGTAACCATGGATGATGGGATTAAGTGCCTCTTGAAGTGACTTTAGCTTCTTGTGCGAACAAAGGGATAGAAGGGAACACTTAGCCCCTTTTTGAGTAAGCAGCTTTCTCCCCCCTCCACCACCAGCATATAAAAGAAATACAATTAACAAACATTATCCCCAGAGGTAAATTGAAATGTACATGCAGACAAGAGCTGCTCTTGACTGCAATTAGACATATATGATCTGAGGTATTTTAGCCATTCATTGTTGCTAATTCTGTGAGAAACAAGCCATTGGAACAAAACGATTAAAATGTTAGGCCAATAACTGGGGTTATTAGTCTGCAAAAATCAGCCTTGTCTGCAGCTCTGAATAGTCTGATTCTCTAGTTGGCTCACTTGCGTGTGTGCCCAAGACTTGTTGGTGTTTGTTACAAACCATTTAAATGTTCTTCTTCTTTTTCATACGAGAGAGTTACCTAAATGGGGGCATTTTATAATTTCATGTCATTGCCAATGCCTGGGGAATCTCTGAAAGTGGCAGGGGCAGTCAGAGGGAACCTGGAACAAGATGCACCATCTTCCCTTGGCTGTGACTTAACTACAGAATGAAAATGCGTTACTCAAAACCAGCAAGTAGGTGCTTGATTTGAGCACTTCCCACAGGTTGCAGAACCCAGCTCTTCTAAGCAAAAAATCTGAGGTACTGAAGTGCAGAATTTTGAAGTTGCCAAAGCAGCAAAGTCCTGGTTATAGAGATGGAGAGTCGGGGGGAGAACAAGTCGGTGTCCTAGGGACTGGGTATAAACCCATCATCCTGAGAAACTTCAGGAGAAGAGACTTGGGTGGGGATATAGGTAAAACAAAACTATTCCCCTTAATTTGTCCAATGATCACATCTGTGGCCCTATAATGCTTTCTGTCTTCAGTGGAGGAGATCAGAAGATTTCAAATTCCTGAGATGGTGACTCTAGGTCATGGTTGGCATTTATTTATTTATTTGTTTGCAAAAATGTTTATATACTGCTGTGTCATAAAAAAAATCTAGCAGTTTACAACAATATAAAGATAAAACCAAACAATAAAATCATAATCAGTTAAGACCAAGTTAAAAGTAAAAATAATTAAAAGCAAGCATCAGTTGACCATTGCTGGGGATGTATTTTTAATTGCCTGCAGAGACATGGCAGAAAGGTTTTCAGCAGATGCCTGCTGAATTTCTGTTGGCAGGGTGTTCCACAGGACTGGGCTGATGACATTAAAGGCTCATTCCCCATTGTTGTCAAACAAACCTCACCAACTCAGGCAACGTCCAAAGGTGCTCCTGCAGAGGATCTAAGTGATTGAGCTGAATGATAAGAGTTCAGGCGGTCCTTGAGATATCCTGGACCCATATTGCTCTGGGCTTTGTAAATGGGCAGATGGGCAGCAGTGGCATCACATGTCCTTGGCCAGTGTTAGCTGTCACATTTACAGGTCAATCCTATGCATGTCTACTGGAAGTCAGCTCCATCATAATTCAGTGGTGCTCACTTGCAGGAAATGTGTGTGCAGTCTCAATTAGTCATCAGCTTGAACTCAAAGAACAATGCCTTATACTGAGTCAGAGCATTGGTCCTGCCAGCTCAGTGTTGTCCACACTGAGCTAGCAGCAGTTCTTCAGCACTGGCCTTGACTGGAGGTGTCAAGAGTTGAACCAGGGACCTTGTGTATGCAAGGCAGGCCCTCTGCCGCTGAGCTATGGACCTTCCGTGACACAGTGACATCAACTTCATGAGAGCTACGCCATTTTTTCTTACACTAGCCATCAAAGTTGGTGGTCATCACTGCATTCTCTGTAGGTGACTTCCATAACTTAACTATGTGCTGTTTGAAGAAGTGCTGTATGAGACATATGCTTAGCGTGATACGATTCTGAATCCAGGACTTTGTTTTGATTACCAGCACTGAACTGAGTGTCCTTCCACACACACAAATTATTCATTGTCATCCCCACCTCCAACCCCGCTTTCTTGATTTCAACAAAGTGATATAAAGTGTGTGTATTTTTTTGTTCCCATGGTTAATCAACTGGGTGTCAGAAATGTTTGCTGATCTACATCACACCACCTGGGATTTACCTTTTGGCTACCCTTACCCTTGGAGTTAGGGACACAGGTGGCGCTGTGGGTTAAACCATAGAGCCTAGGGCTTGCCAATCAGAAGGTCGGCAGTTCAAATCCCCGCAACAGGGTGAGCTCCCGTTGTTCGGTCCCAGCTCCTGCCCACCTAGCAGTTCGAAAGCACACCAGTGCAAGTAGATAAATAGGTACTGCTCTGGCAGGAAGGTAAACGGCGTTTCCGTGCACTGCTCTGGTTCGCCAAAAGCGGCTTAGCCCTGCTGGCCACATGACCCGGAAGCTGTACGCCGGCTCCCTCGGCCAATAAAGCGAGATGAGCGCCGCAACCCCAGAGTCGGTCACGACTGGACCCTTTACCTTTACTTACCCTTGGAGTTAAGGCAGCATGCAGATGTTAACAAAGTAAGCCGTTCTTCTCAGTAATTAAAGTGGCAGTGGAACTTCTTGAAAGCGTTTAAGAAGTACAGCCTAAGATTAATAGAACTCTCAACTTTTTTTTACAGGAGGAGTCCTTTTCTACCTTTTCCTGCTCCTAAGCTTGGTTATCGCCTGACACCGTCTCGTAGCTACATACCCCGAAGGGCTGTTCTCTACGTGCCAGCTGACGATGAGAGGAAGATACGGAAAATCTCATCTGTCGATGTGGATTGTGCTGTGCTGGATTGTGAAGATGGTGTTGCTATAAATAGGAAGGTAAGCAATACATTCTCCATCATGTTACATGGGATTATTCTATCACGCAATATAGCTGTGCATAGAAATCAAGCCATTTCACACAAATTTATGTCCTGGTGCTGTCAGCTCTGTTTCCAATTGCAAGCAGTACTTGGAAGGCTGTTGTATGGGAGCATATCAATGCAGATCTCGCAATTCAGTTGCACATTGGCATGTGCTCATATCGCTGCTGATCTTCAGAAATGCTTAAATGCAGGCAAAGGCTCATTATGACCCCCTCTCTTGTGTTTTTTGTGATCTTGACCCTGGTTCAGACTATCAGAGAATGCCCACATGAAGTGTGACAGCAAAGTCAAGCCTGGGGTTTGTCTAAGACACATGCACCAACTGGGATAGCAGCAAATTGTTGTCGTCGTTTTTAAATAGCCATCATACTGCTAAGACGCTAATTTTGAATCGGTGGTTTCTTTTGCTGCAGGAATATAAACCGAGATATGTGGAGCAGTGGCTTTTTAGTATGCTTATTTCTCTCCCAACTCTCTCTTTTCCTGAGTGAAAATAGTCTTTTCTCCTGTTGCAGAGTGTGTCCATTTCCGTATGTCATCCTTTCTTTCTTCTTCCAGAGTGGATTGAATAGAGGCTTCATTGTTCGTTCCTTTAGGGATCAAACTGTTGCTCTTATTAGAATGCTTTCTAGGGCAACATCGTCTTCTATTGTTAACACTTCAATCCTTTAAAGCAGCAGAAAGGATTCTTTACAGCTCCTAGATAAGGTCAACACGGCAATATTTCTGCCCGAGTCCTTACTTTGGTGCTAAATGAATTGCTGGTTGCTTCTCATTGGGCCTAGGGAGTAAGAACTCGGCACTGTGGCATTATGGTCCTGAGATGGATGAGCCCAGCAAGCTCCAAGTACAGAGTTATCACATTTAATAAAGCAAATTACCTTTTAAATAGTTATTATCTCTGGGAGTGTATCTCCCCATAGGAACTGACCCAGACCCTGCAATTACCATCTGAGGCCCTTCTTTGTGTGCCTCCAGAGAGTGACAACATCAGAACAGGCCTTTTCTGAGGTGACTCGCCATTTGTGGAACACTCTCCCCAGGGAGGCCCGCCTGGTGTTTTCATTACATATCTTTAGGCGCCAGGAGAAAACATTTCTCTATGACCAGGCCTTTGGTTGATAAACATTCTATGACCTTTAAAATTTGTTTGTGGGAGGGGGCTTATTGGTTTGTTTCTGTTTTATGATGTATTTTGTGTCCTCCTTGTGAATTTTTATGTTTGACCCACACTGTGATCTTCAGATGAAGGGCTGTATACAAATTTAATTAATAATAATACGTGCAATCAGGTGTGTGGGCTACAGTGGTACCTTGGGTTACAGACGCTTCAGGTTACAGACTCCGCTAACCCAGAAATAGTACCTCGGGTTAAGAACTTTGCTTAAGGATGAGAACAGAAATTGTGCGGCGGCAGCGGGAGCCCCCATTAGCTAAAGTGGTACCTCAGGTTAAGAACAGTTTCAGGTTAAGAACGGACCTCCAGAACAAATTAAGTTCTTAACCCGAGGTTCCACTGTATAGGGAAGGACAGATGGCAGCCCACTAAGCAAGGACAAGTTTTTTAGAACCACACCTGTCAACCTGTTAGGAAACCCAACCAACCAGCAGAATTTTGCCGACACTTGGGGCTTGCTTGCTACTTCCAGATAATGGGTGGCATTCAGCTAAGTGTGCTTTGCTGTCTTTCTCTTGCAAGTTGTTGTTGTTGTTGTTGTTGTTATTATTATTATTATTTTATTACAAGACAATAAATAACAATCATTGCAAAAACCAAAGTAATATCCCTCCTCCCCCTTGGCTCCCAAATAAAAAATGCAAGAACATTTTGTCAAAGGCAAATAAATGAGTACCAAATCTCAATAAACTCCCATCAACCCTAGGTGGCAGGACCGCTGGTCAAGGATGATGGGAATTGTAGTCCCAAAACAGTCCCAAACAAGACCCAAGTTTGGGAAACCCTGATTTAAAGCCTCTACTTGTTTGTAGGTTTTATTCATAGTAGTCCCATTGAAATTAATACACATGTGGAAGTTAGGACCATTCGTTTCAAAAGCCCTACTCTGAGTAAAATCTAGCTGACTATTACCCTCTGTTCCAGAAATGAAAAACTGGCTCTGTTCTTCCAGTGCATGTTACTGACAATCAGGTAAACTACTAGCGCTGGGGAAGCCAATATGGTGCCTTCTAGATGTTGATGAACAACCACTTCCATCAGCCCCAGCAGGGCCAATAGTCCTGGATGATGGGAATTGTAGTCCAGCAACATCTGCAAGGGACCATGTTGACTACCCCTGCCCTACTAGAGCCAGTCGGGAGCTGTAAGTAGAGCCACACCAAGGATGGAGAACCTGATGCCCTCCAAAGACTGCAGCTCCTATTATCCCAGACCATTGGCCTTGTTGGGTAAGGCTGATTGGAGTTAGAATGCAGTAGCATCTGGAGGTCCAAAGGCTCCCCATCTCTGCCTTACACCACCCGCTATCTTAACGTGGAGCCCTCCAATGTCTCGTTTCTTATCCCTGGCTCATGAAGGGGAATGCGTATAGCAGGCATGAGATAAAATCATAAACTGGGTCAGTTGTGATATATGTAAGAGAAAATGCAGGCAAGCTCATTCCGAGCTTTATCAGCATCAATAGGAAAAAGCTGTGGTGGGCTTTGTAAATCTCTGGCTACCTCAATTAAAGCCAACCGTTTCCCTGTATTATGTGATGATAATCTGTTTATAACAAAGCCAAATGCTTGGGATTTGTCAATGCATCAGGTATTTCTCTGGGCCCATAGTGAGAATTTCAACGAGCACTTCACAACGAGAGTCACTGATAACTGGAGGGGTTTTCTTTTTTTAACAAGATCTTTGTTTTATTTATTATAAATTAGTGCAGCAGCTAATTGTACCTTTCTACGGGGAGAAAGCTAGCTGAGCAGAAGATAGAGAATGATTAAACCTACGCAGACACATGGTGCGGTAACATCACTCCGAACGATATAGAAAATTGGAATGGGAGCAGGACTTTCCCAGGTCTCTTGCTATTATTAAAAGCAGCTTGGGGAAATTTCTTCAATCCGATTTGGGGAATCGAAGTCTCAGCAAAGTGAACTATATCGGCAAACACAGCAACGCTTTTTGTGATCCATGAAGAGTTCTGTTGAATATATGTTTTCACATAGGTTGTAAAGTGTTTTCATGACCTTATTAATCCCTGTATGGCCTTAGAAAGCGCACCATTCCTGATTGGTAATGCTGACAATAAATGTTTGGTGGGTTTTTTGTTCCCATTGTTTTACTCAGCATCTTCCTCTTGAAAGAATTTGAGGAGTTTCTGAGGAGGTCAGAATATCAGCAATTTTTTTAACGAGTTAAATTGGGGGAGGGGGGCTTGATTATTTTTAAAAAAACAAAAAACTTTCTTTCTGTTACATATTTTTTTTAGTTGGCACTTCCCTGGAGGTTCAGAAATATCCAAATTGACTTTCACTGAGACACAATGGATATAATTTTGAGAATGCAGTGGCGGGGGGGAAAAGGCTTGGTACAAATTTACAGAAAATTTTGTATGGTTATACAAATAAAACGGAAGGCATTCTTATATTATCGTGGGTTAGAGCAATGCTTAGACCTTTCCTTTGAAACATAGACGGTAGCTCATGACCCTACACAATAAATGGGACCCACCAGTCATATATTATGCCTGAAAACTTTGCACACGTGGTCCTGCGTGGTCTCATGGTCCTGCGTTCAGTTCCTGGCATTTCCAGATAGACCTAGGAAAGATGCCTAGCTGAACATCTAGAGAGCTGCTGTCAATAAGTGCAGAAAATGGACCAGTGGTTGAAGGGAAGGGAAACACTTTTTAAAATAAAAAGTAATGTAAAGCAGCACAATTAAAAATGTCTAAATTGCATCCTTGTTACTACTACTATCATTATTAATAAGAAATATGTATTAATAACAGATTTATTTTTTTAATCTCCGTGATTTAAAATAACATCCACAGTTAAATATAACCATATTTTCATCATTCATTCTTTATATACTGTATGCTTACTACTGTTACTACTAGGGTTAGATTAATCTGTCTATTTCTGGCTTTTGCATTTTTTGCACATATCGTTCCAGTGCTTTCTGATTCTGCATTAAGCTACTTTAGAAAAAGAAGAAGGAGAAGTCTCCATTTATATTGAGATATACATTTCCTCTCAAAGTTTATATTTAAAATACATGGTTTGATGTGGTAAAACTGCCCAAAATTGCTTTGCAGCAGAAGTACAAAAGCTGTTGGATACCTAAGTTCCAATCTGCACATTGGTCCAAGAGGGTGTTTTATGCAGGGTTTGGTGAGGGGGTGAACTTATCAAGCATCTCTAGATACCATTAAAACAAGCACTATTATTTTTAGCCCACCTTACTCTTTGCATACGAGGATGGCAAAGCTCATGCACGCCTTCCATCAGTCCTAGTTGTTGTTGTCAATGTTGCTGTTAGTGCTATATCTCAGAAATATATGAAGGCTGCCAACCATTTCTTTTGTCTCCAAATGCTATTTGGGGAAATTACTCAACTGTCTTCCTGTTTATTGCAAACAAAGTCGCCAGCCTAGCCATGGAATCTGAAAAGTACTTTTCACCCTTTGTGAAAGGATAAGCAGAACCCTACTGTTTTCTGTGTTTGCACCTAAAAGGAGGCTTGACTGCATGAAGATCTATTTTTTGACTTCTTGAAGGCAGGATATACTTTGTGATAATGCAGTCACGTAATTAATTACTCAAGATCCCCACTGTATTACATTGCTTTTAATACTAATTTATATTAACACTGTTTTTGTGTTGCCACCTTCAGAAAGAGTGGAACACAAAACACCCATCAATAAAACAGTTAATTGTAATGATTTCTGCCGCAACAAAACTCTTGTCTTTGAACTAGATGTAATACTTGAGTTTAGGATATCCCTTAAAAATTGTGTTCTGTTAGTTCCCTAGATAGATCTTTGAAGTGACATGTTGGGTTCAGCAGGGGTGCTAGCCAACCCAGATCTGCCTGCCTGCTGTTTCTTAGCGTTATATCATTGGCCTTTCCGCTATGGCACAAACAGGAAGAATACTGTAGTCATGTAGTGTTGGTCTTGGTCTTCAGAGCTCTGGGAGTTAGAGGCTGTGGCTTGTCCAAAGTTTCCCAGTGATTTTGACAACTGACCTAACATTGCGATCTTCTATAACTTCCCTTTCTCGGTTGTAGCTTTCCATCTGCAGTGTGGAAGCAGGAAATAATGAGGATTCTCCACCAGCTATTTTAACCGGGCTATTAGTCTCGAATAAAGAAGCAGGGGTATGCTGCCGATCAGCTTTGTCTGGACTCGAGAATCCATTGCAGAGATTGAGGATCCAGGCCAAAGTCAGCAGCCTTATAAGAACAGGCGAAACGCTATTGGTTCCAAATGTTACTTGGCACTGCTTCCAGAGCTGGTTTTGGCATTCCTCTGTGCCATTCATGGCGGATCTGCTGAAAAACAGCAATGTAGAGACGCTATCCTCTAGCAACCCGCCATAGTTTCTTGTGGTGCTGAGAATGAGCTGCTGATTCCTGATTTGCAATCCCTGGTCCTTTATGCTTTAACCGGTGTAGTTCCTTTGAACTGTTGAGTCAGTTTGAATTATTTTGTAACACATAATCTAAGGTCCAATGACGGTATGTGTGAGTCACTGTCGCTACTTCTATTATTATTTGTGGTTCCTGTAGCACTTTCTAATATACAGAAGTGTTCTACAGTTCTGATTTATTTTTTGCTTTGATCAAGCTAGTCCTCTAACGACGATTATTTTTTGGAAGCCACCATGAAGTAAAGGGAGACTGGGAGCTTCAGATCAGAGAAAGCAGCACTTACTCACATAAAAATAGTATTGTTATGTGCTCATCAGTGCCTTAGCTAGAAAAACTGTTTATACTTACAAGTATTTTCCAAGCATAATTCTGAACGACCATTTGGAGGATCAAATGCATACACCCAACATTTCTCCAATGAAAATAGGGACATCCTATTCCATAATAATTATATATATTTTTATTTATGCCCCAACCATCTGACTGGGTTGCCCCAGCCAGTCTGGGCGGCTTCCAATAAAAGCATAATAAAATATTAAAGATGTTTTTAAACACTTCCCTATACAGGGCTGCCTTCAGATGTCTTCTAAAGGTTGAATAGTTACTCCTTGGCTCGGGGATCTCATAACTCCATAATGCAAACATTTCTCTGGTTAGAATAGGGAGGCAAAGTGGGAATGCATCCAGGAAAGGTCTTTGCACAGGAGTGGGGCCTACTGAGCTGCTGGGGCCCTGGCAACCTGCCTAAGCTGTTGGGTGCTGACACTGGGCCACGTTAGGAGCCCTGGAGGGTCTATTTAATGAACAAGATTGATGCAAAAAATCAAGCATGGCGCACCCTTTGGGCTCCAAATGTAGAGGGCTAGCTGCAGACCCCTTTGCATGCTCAAATGGACACCAAGCATTGGCCAGGGGCCAGCATGCACCCAGAGCCTCAGTCACAACTTGCCAGGAACATACAAATGAAGCAGACTTTATGGCGATGGCAGTGACAGCCACCTCCCAAGTTAGGAAATGCTACTGCAGCTTACTCCTACTTTTAAGAGTCAAGGCTGACTCAAGACATTTTGATGCCCAAGATGAAAGTCGAGATGGCACCTCGTCCCATTCCAGGTACAAAATCTGACCAGACTGGCAACTGAATCTGATGATGGGTGGGTCAGTGTCTTCCACTGAGAGCAGTAGTCTGACTCACGGGGATATAGGGCAGGCCATGTGGTGAGAACAACACTATCCCCCAACATTTTGCTGCTGCTTCCCCAAAATATCTGCTGCCTGAGGCAGCTGCATCATTGTGCTTAATGGTAGGACCTGGTATGTCCCAGCCATGACTGGGGATTTGAGTCCTATCAAGTCCTATTGAGTATTCAGAAATCCCATTGTTCTCCCTGGGGGACTAGGCTGTGTTTCCAGGGCTGGGGAGGAACAGGCATGTGCTAGACAATCTGGCAGGATGCGATCTTTCTGAATCCTGTGATCAGGAGCTGATTATGGGATCTGGCAAGCCCTTTATTTTAACTGGATCATCCGACTTAATGCAGTTCATTCCTCTAGGGGAAAGAAAACGTAAAACCATTTGTTACATCCTGAAAATACAGCTCAATTAAATTTACATTTTTATAATATAAAAGGGTAAATTAATGCATGTAAACATGGCTTAATCTGTTTATTTAAACTTGAAACATAATCCTTGAAATATGTAAACAACATTTGTTAGGCCTCAGAGATGTTACAATGATTGGACTCCAGAGACCCCATTTATCCTACTGAACCTTCATCACTTCAAAGGGAATTTTATATATTTACAGCAGTAACAAGATGTTCAGCATAGCTAGATAGAAATTTGCTTCAGCTATTTAGCTAATGCCAGAAGGGTTTAAATTAGATTTTATAGCTGTTAGCAGAAATCTGTTTTATGGCTAACAAGTGAGATTTTTAAATCCTTGGAAACAAGATTATTATAAAAATGACAGCTAGCTTAATATTTAGGGAGTCTATATGGCTTAATAGGTTGGGTTGTTTTTTTTAATGTGAACAAAAAACCACAAATGGTTATGGAATTTTTAGTTATTTTCCCCAAAAGTTGTGGGGGAAAGGACATACAATCGGGTAAATAGCAAAAATGTACAGCTTGGAAATACCCGGAAAAAATAGCAGTGAATACTGAGTCTGTGATAAGGCAGGCCATAACATACCGACTATAAAGAAAATAGACTGCTACTGCTAATTAGCATGCAAAACTTGAACGCTAATTTTGCAATTAATGTGTAACTTCCTGAGGTTACTGTGGTGTAATAATTTAGGGCATAAAATTATGAGATGTTAAGAGCATCTGATCTCCCTACAGGGAAAACTTGCCGCCTTTTAGGAACATGCCCAAACCTTTATTAAGATCTTGTGATTTAGCTTGAGGGACACGGCTACTAAATGCTCCCTTGAGGTCCCTAGAAGACATTATCAGGCTGTCAGTGGTTTGCTGTCATTTGGAAATAACTCATTCCTCCCAGTAATAATGGAGAAACATTAGCTTAGAAAACAGATAGGGAACATCTCTCTCCGCAGGTTCACAAATTAGCCTCTTAATGAGGCACCGCATGTAGAAAGGCTTCCTTGGGCCTGTAGTGGTCAGTGGTTTTGATAACCAACCAAGGCTCTGGAGGGCTTCCTTCAGCATTCCATTGCCCTCTGCTCCTGGCCAAGAAGCCGCCACCATAGCAAGCTTGCTTTTTCTACCTAGCAGGAACAAGAAATTATTGTTTCTAAAGCACCCAATATTGCTAGGCACTTGGGTATCAGTTGTTGCTGATGTTGATGATGTTTTCTTCTCTCTGCCTCACTTTCCCTTCCAGTGAGTTCTTTTTTTATATCTTATTTTAACTGACTTAAAAGTTGTAAGCTGTATCTTTATGGTACACCGCTTAGAGAAATAGGGTAGTTATTAAGTGGTATATAAACTATTGAAATAAATAAATATTCTTTAAAATATTATAACGCAAGGAAAGTGAAGAATTACTTCAATTTAGATTTACAACCAACACCCACAGTTCTAATTCTGATTGTTCCAATTCCCAATTTTATTGAATTTCGTGTGTATTTTGTATTTGAATATTGAATATTGTAAAATCGCTTTGGGGTGCCTCTGGATGTTTGAAGCAATATATTAATATAATAAACTAAACTGACAAAAGTAGGCTAGAGGGAGGGAAGGGAAATGTTTGCGTCAGGGCAAGGAGAAACAAGCCAATAAAAGCTACCTGGAAAACTTAGTAGTCATGCACTGAACATCAGATACACAGCAAGAAATACCATATTCATGAGTAGCCAAATAAGAGCCTGAACAGCTATGGGAAAGGTTGGTAAAAAAACCTGACACTGACAATATATTGATTTCAAATCGGAAATCTAGTTTCACTTCAGAACCACAACATACAAAATGGAAGACAGGCTTCTTGCAATGGGGAAAAAAATATCAATATAATATTGCTTTTTAGATTTTCAAAATGAAAAATGAATCTCATGAAAATTCAATCTTCTCTTAGTATTATTTTACTTTATTTTTATTGGGATTCATATCATGTTCTTCACCGTAAGGTTGCAGGGTATGGGTTAACATTAGTGGAGATAAGAGCAACTGATAAACAGAATGTGAAATGCACACATAGCATATCTAGAGAATAACCCAGCACAAAAACAGATAAAAGACGTAGCTCTTCTTCTGCCATTACCCAAAAGCTCAATGATATTCCAGTCATGAGGGCCTTATCTAGAAAGGCTTTAGTAAATCAAGGTGTGTTAGCAAAAAGGATCACACTATAGCACTGGTGATGCAGACTTGTGCAAATTATAGAAATTTGGGTGAGGGTTTTGTAACCTCCTATGCATAATTCCTACTTACTTTTCACATAGCCACTTTTGCGTTTTCCTTCTGTCTCCCGCCTCCCAAGTTGTCTTTATATTATAATTCTATTTCTTCCTTTTTGCTGCTTATTGTGTGGGACATTCAGTTCTGAAGGTAATGAATGGAGGCATTTGATGGGAAGAACATTCTTGGGTTCTAAGCTCCTCTCTAGTTTGAAACTGTATATATAATAAAATCAGTAAGATTTGCAAATTAAAAGAAAATGTTCTCTTGAAGGGGATTATTTCCTTCTGAGGATATGGTTCCACTTCATTAAGAGGAAAATGGGTCTGTGCTAATCTTAGTCATTCCACCCACTTAACCACTTTGCCAGTTAAATTTCTAAGGCCCTGTGCCACAGTACTGAAGTGTATTTAATAAGATTTACATTTCAGCATAATAAGCCATGTAATTTATCCCACAGAATCCCCTTCCTTGGCAAAGGAATTTTAAAGAGAGATAGGAGTTGAGATCTTAATCCCATTTAATCTGCCTTCTGTAATCTCAGGTTCATTTCTTAATTTGGGATATTTTTCCAACGCTCGGAATCAGTAATCTCAGCCTTTGTGCATGTGGCAGGGAGAACGTGGCAAAGATTTTGGCAAGAATGGATTGATCGAGGAATTATTATTAGTAGTATTAGTATTAGTATTATTACTATTATTTTGGCAGTGTTAGAAAATGGATTCCAAAACTGTTACTTCGGAAGGCAACAATCACTTCTGTAATGGTAATCAGTAGTTCTGAAGAGGACAATCCAAAACCAATTAAAGTTCAGTAATTTGTCTAAGTGAGGAATATGCTGAATAACTCTAGTTAATGCTTTAAATTGCTTTAACACTAGTTAATGCTTTAAATTGCAACTCATAATACATTGCCACCTAATACAGCTGTATAATTCTGATTGATACCAGCAAAGGGTATACAGTATTTGAAAAAAGTCTTTTTGCCACAGCCATGACTTTAGAAGAGCCTTGGGGAGGTGGTCTGCTGCAAAAAGTGACCAAACGAGTTGCTGAGGATTTCATGATGGAAGAAAACTGGGGATATATAAACATAAGATTATAAATAAGCATTGCCTCTTAATAGCACTCACTGGGGCACAACAGGAATGGGCTGTTGCTCTCATGTTGTGCTTGTGAGTTTCGTATAGGTTGGCCACTGAATGCTGGAACAGACAGGCCTTTGGAAGTAGTGGTCAGTGGGATGCAGCCACAGCAACACCAGGAGGTCAGTTAAGTGGCCCCACTTAATCACTACTGGCCTTTAGTTTGATCCTGCAGGACTCTTCTATGGTCTTCTTAAGTTCTAATGCTCAAGACAATGCAAAATTGCATTTTTCAATGACAAAAGCCATAACTGAATGATCAGTAACAGCCAAGACATCTGTTGTGCACCCCACTCATAGGCATGTTTACTCAGAAGTATGCCTTACTGAATCCAAATGAACTTACTCCCAAGTAAGTGTGGGAGGATGTTTTTACGGAAATCAGTTATTCATATCCCTGTGTCACGTCATCTCTGGAAACACGAGCACAAAAGCAACCTCATAAACCATGACAAAAATATAAAACAATAGCACAGAAGATAGAATGTGCCAGAGTACACTCAGTTGGGTTTAAAACGTATCTCAAAACCTTTATTTCTCCACGTCCAGATATATAATTTTGCCATTTATGATATTTAATTTTTCGCTGTTTTCGTATGCTTTCTCTTCCCCCACACCAACTTCTTTAAGCTTCTGCCTTTTATTTGAAGCTATCAAAACAAATATGGGCACTGCCTTTGCAACTTTGGTGTCATCTAACAAGAAATCATCAAAGGCAAAGGGTGTGAAACTAAGCCTTTTCTTAGAATTGACTCTAAAAATGTTGTTTCTTTATCAAGAGAGCAATATGATAGGCAATGTGGCACGGAAACCAATGGATTTCTGTGTAAATGTGTCTGGTTAGCTTTACAAACGGTTCAGTTATATAAGATTCCTCCCTATTTGTTTTGGTATCCTTTCTATGCACACCAGTGATACTTTCAAGAAGTTTTCATTTGGCTTTTCCCTTTGCTGCTCTGCACTTGCCCTTCGTGCTGTGCTTTAAGGTGTAGATATGAAGGAATACTCATTTGCTTATATAAGGCTGTGTAGTCATTAATTGTAGGTAGAGGGAACTATATTTTAATCAGAACTGATAATTTTCTCTTGGCAAGTAAAAACTGTTAATAGTTGGAAAGTTATGTTTCTAGTGTGGACGGTTAATAAAGCACGCCTCTTCCTGCCAAAACCATACCATCCAATTATCAACATTTCTCCCCAGTTTCTCTCTCTCTTTCGCACACACTCGGCGTGAGCTTTTCTCACAGAACTGGAGTCACTTCTGGCTGTTTTGTTCATAGACTCTTGTCAAAAAATATTTTCTGCATCTCTAATTTCATTAAGGTATGCTTGACTGAAATTGTCAACATCACTAGGAAAAGTAGGGTTTATTTTGAAGTTTGCTCCGTTGCTTGTTGCGGCGGTTGAGCAACCCAAAAGAAAGGCATCTAAGAATTATGTCACTCCGGTTATGATGTACATGCGAGAAAAGAAAAAAGGTTCTCATGAACATGTTTGTTCTTGGGCATAATTGGTTAGCAGACAAGAATTTGTGAATTTCAGGGTGTTGGGATTTGGCTTGTTCTCCCAGGCTACGCTTTTGAGGCTGCCAACTTTCAGCCTCCTAGGGTTTTCCTCCTTAGAAAAGTACAGACGGAGACTTCAGGTTGTTAGCAGATGAAATATGGCAAGTTTACATTTAATTCAAAGTGACCACTCTGGAAAATGAAGGGAGGGCAACTCCATGCTTCTTGCCCACACTTTGATATCTTTAGAATCACAACAAGGAGTTTTCACAAGCTACAGAATTTGTCGGTTCTGAATCAGGAGAATCCGCTCACCTGGGGTGGAAGTGATGATTCTGTGATTTGAATCAAACCATTTTTTGTTCAGCTGAAGTCAGGTGCAGGTGGAGTGAATTTAAGGCAGGTTTGGAGGCCTGTGCTGGACTCCAACACCCATCAGCCCCAGCCAGCCTGGAAACATCTGGAGATGTTTTTGAGAGAATAACGGTGGTTGGTAGTCTGCTGAGGTATCTATGGAGCACCACCATTAACCATACTAACTTCAGTTTCCACAATCAAATCAAAGAGTTTCTGGAGGTTCTTCAGATATATATTAATGGAGAGCATGTTACAGCCGCCCAATCTATATTGCCTCAGTAGATGGGTGGGCAAAGCTAATAATGAGGTGAGCAGGGGGCTGAGGAAGGGCCAATTTGCCACCCACTGCCTGAGACTGATTTCATTCTGCCTCATTACTGGACTAACACTAACAGAAATAGCTGGATGGAAAATTCGATAAGTTTTTTAAAAAATTGTTCCATGCCACATAATGTGTTTGTGTTGCACTGCTGAAAAAGTAAAAAAAACTTGAGTCCTTGTTTCTAGACAACATTGTGTCTCTGGTGTAGCAGGTAGTGGAATATGTAAAACATGGATAAAGTAATTCTAGTCAAACTCAAAATGCTGCAGGCTGTCTGCCAAACTGGACTATTCATTAAATGCACAACCTTTTATGACAGTCACTCTTAACAGTGAGTAGATGGATGGATGGATGGATGGAAGGAAGGAAGGAAGGAAGGAAGGAAGGAAGGAATACTTAAGGAAGTAAGATATTTTGGCTGACTTTAGTCCTTGCAATTTATCAAACGTATCCATTCTTAAGGAAATCAGCCCTGAGTGCTCATTGGAAGGACAGATCGTGAAGCTGAGGCTCCAATACTTTGGCCACCTCATGAGAAGAGAAGACTCCCTGGAAAAGACCCTGATGTTGGGCAAGATTGAGGACACAAGAAGAAGGGGACAACAGAGGACGAGATGGTTGGACAGTGTTCTCAAAGCTACAAACATGAGTCTGACCAAACTGCGGGAGGCAGTGGAAGACAGGAGTGCCTGGCGTGCTCTGGTCCATGGGGTCACGAAGAGTCGGACATGACTAAATGACTAAACAACAACAAGTCCTTGAAACAAAGCAAGCTGACTCCAACTGGGACACAGTTTGGGGTGCAGATGTGCCCCCCCGGCCATGAAACTGTCGGCCTGATCATTGCTGACAAGCACCCATGAAGTAATCCACAATGGGCTCCTCCAACTTAGGGATGGGAAATTGAGTACATTAAGCGCTGTCTTCATTGTGTGGCATTTTGAGTGATTAAAGCCTCACAGATGTTTTACTTTGCAGGGAGTGGGTGTTATAAACATGCATGGTTTTAGATTTCCTGTGTTATTGATTGATCTGCCTTTGAGCCATGTTGCTGGAAAACCCAGCATACCTCATGCAGAAGAAGAGCCCTTAGAGTCGTTGGGGTTTTATTTCTGCATCCAAAGTGTCAAAATACAGTGTGAGTGGAAGAAGCCTTATTGCCACCAGAAAGCAAGCCTCCTCTGTAAGATCAACCAGCTATTTCAGCTGTGTTCTAAAACAAAACAAAACTGGACTCAAAAGCAAAGCAATCTGTAAGTGAATAGAGACAGCCAACCAAACACATGAGAAATGTGCCTGTTTCTTAAAGTATAGCAATACAAGTGGCTGTGGCTGGTTATAAACCATTCCCTGGCTGTTACTGCTGTTCCTCTACTTACTGACTAATTGCAGTGAATACATTAATTCTGTCTGCTTCCCTCCATGCTTGGCGTAGACAACACAGTACCTCTCCTCGTACATTGTTGAACTACAAATCCCACCAGCCCCAGCCTGCTTGGCCCATACTAAGGGAAGATAAAGATTTCTTCAACATCTGCAGGGCGCTATGCATTGCTGCAGTGCATTGCTCTCGATTTTTGTGTTCTTTGTATACTGATGTTGGGTGCCCTCAAACATAATTTTATGGCCCCCTAAGACCCCACTGAATTTGGCAACTGCAGCAAAAAGGGGAACAAATAAACATAGTGCTGGGGTAAGGGGAACCCAGCAACCTGATGGGCAGGCAAATTGCCACCTCCCCAGCCAGCCAGTGATTGATCATTGGATGAGTAGAGAGATGAACAAAAAATGCTTTCATTTGATCTGTGTGGATCAGCTGAGAAGGGTGTGTGTGGTGTGTGTGTGTACATAGGCATAGGAGAATATGAGGAGGCAGTACCCACCTTGTTTGTTTTTTAAAAATAATTTTTATTAAGTTTCCAGTTACCAAATCAAACATATCACACCAATTAGTCCAAATTATAACAATACAAATCATCAAATCCAAATATTTTCCAAATTATAAATTTTTGTGGGGGGTACCCATGCTCCGAGATCGGCAGGGGGCAGTACCCACCTTGGGGCAGACCAACTGCTGGTATGCCATCCCTGGAGTTGAGCCAAGGGTGAGTTCTCCTTTGAGCCATAAAAGGTTAGCTACCCCTCATAAAGAGCAAGGGTGGCTAATCTATGGCCTTCAAGATATTGCTGGACTAAAAGTCCCATCACCCCTCTGAATGGAACTGGTGTGAGATGTGGTCCAACAAATTCTGGGAGGGCTGCTGATTCCCCATCTGTAGAGAAATGAGAAATCTAGAGAAATGTGGTTTTGCAATAGCTATGTTTTCAACCAGTATTACAGGGGGAGGAAATTCTTACAAATTCTGAGCCACCTCCGCCGCAGGAGACATTGTAGGGCTGAAGCAAAAGTGCCTGTTTGCGTGACACGATTTAAAAACTTGAAGTTTTGAAATTGTCATTTGTCACCAGGAAGACAAAAGCAAAAGGAATTGCTGGCTTATGAGGATTTCCTTCCCAAGTTTGTGTTTTTCACCCCAATCGAGAAGCGGGCTTCCATTGTCCCTGGTCTTGGTGCTGCAGAGTTGGGCGATGCCGTGTGTGAGGCTCGGAGGCTCTCGGTCGGGGGCCTGGCCATCTCCAGACTCCTGTGGGAGCCCCAACTGGTCCTTGATGGGGAAAAGTTGTTGTGACAGTGACAACGGAGCCTTGAGAACGGGGCTTAGAAAGCTGGGAAAAGCCTCCCCTCCTGTGACTTGGGGGCTGTCTGTGCCAGGACCATCAACCTCCCAGCCAACAAGAACCGGACACAGCTCCCTTAAGAGCCTGTCAGTCCTTTTCAGTCCTATTCACTAATCAGCCAGAGGGCTAGCTGTTGAATGAGATGGGGCACTTTCCTCCCCCAAGGACTGGCTCAGTGTGCTGCTTCCATAGTTCTCACAAGCCCTGCCGGCCCAGGGAACAAGAGGCTCGGATTGGAAATCAAACTGTGGTTTTCTGCATGACTGTGCAGTGTGTATGAACAGCAGGCCATTTTATAAATATTATATATATTTGGTTTTTCCCGACACTGGGTGGGTTTGTTTTCATCTCCTGCTACTGCTCTTTCCCCCTACTCCCTCCCCCTTTCTCTTTTGCCAGAGGCATGGGTACACAAGGAGTTCTATTAGAAGCCTAGATGTGGGTTTTGAGGTTTTGTCCGTCTCATTACAGTGAATGCATCACCTGCATGACTCAGTCATTCTTTGGGCTGCCTGGGGAGCGAGACTCCAAGAGCAGGCACAACGATAATCCTTTCTCATTATGGGGCTCACTGTTTGCTGCTGTGAGAGTAGGCCAGCTTCTTCTCAACACAGCATTAAAAAAAAAAATCGTTAATACATTTTGTGCATAAAATTGCCTTTACTTTCTTTTTTTAATCAACCCTTCTCTTTATGCCAAAGTTAAGTAGAGAGAGAGAGAGAGGGAGGATGTACGATTTTGCTGTTTTAGTCAGAAGCGAGGTTTGCATGGAGGTTATTCCACACAACAGTAAACATCACACGTAACAAAATCAAACAAATCCAAGGTAGACTGCAGAAAGATTTATGGTGGGGTGGGGGGAGCTGGTATAATGACTGCGCTCTAAATTTGCTTTTGCATCTGTTGTGGAGCTAAGCATTGGCCATGTTCACACATCACTTGTGAGCAAGAAACCATGGTTTATTGTACACAAGTGAATCACTCCCACTTCCTTCCATGTCACGCTGGAGGAACTTTACCACATATAATGCTTAGTGTTTTGTCTGAGCCAGTGATTGTGATTTCTTTCACTTGTTAACAAACCATGGCCAGTGAGCCAAGAACCAACCTTGGCTACAAGGTTTATGCAGGGGACGCTGGTGCCCATTGGTACCAATAGGGTAGAAGGCAGGGAGGCCAACAGTAGGGGGAGCCAGAGCAAATGGCTGTGGAGCTAGAGCCCACAAATCATTGTTTTGCCCTCCTCCTCCGTGCTGCTGAGTTATGTAAGGGCAGCACAAACTAAGGAGGAGGAGGCGGCTGGCCACCAATAGAACTCCCTGAACCAGTTGTAAGTAAAGAAGTAGGCAGGTGGGGGCTGGTTGAGGAGAGTCTGGTCTTAGCGGGGTAGTGCCCCACTTTGGTTTGATTTTTATTTAATTTTTTATTTAATTATTTATTTTATTTTATTATTTTATTTAATTAATTATTATTTATTTAATTTCTGTATCACTTAATGTAATATGTATGTATGTATGTAAGTGAAGGGTTTTCCAAACTTGGGTCTCCAGCTGTTTTTGGACTACAACTCCCATCATTCCTAGCTAGCAGGACCAGTGGTCGAGGGTGATTGGAACTGTAGTCCAAAAACAGAAGCAACAACAGACAACTTAAACAAAATATTGCAAAAATACACAGTTGCATATAAATATGTTGCATTAATACAAAGTTACTAATATTTATAAATCAGTGTCAATTCATTTTCCGTCTGACACTTCCTTCCTTGCAACCTCCAGGTTCTCATCCAGAGTCTAAACCAGGGGTCGGCAAGGTTTACCGGCCATGGGCCGGATCATTCCCACGGAGATCGCCGTGGGCCGGACTGGCGCAGCGTGACGCCAGAAATTGCTTCTGCGCATGCCCAGACACTGAAAATCACGCCTACGCAGAAGTGATTTTCGCCATCTGGACATGCGCAGACATGATTTCCAGTATCTGTGTGTGCGCAGACACAGTTTCCCATGGCACTCAGCAAGCCCCCGTACCGCACTGCGCCAGTTTAGCGCAGCACATGGGGAACTCACTGAGTGGGCGGCTCAGTTCAGGTAAAACGGTCTTCGTGGGCCACATCCGGCCCATGTCCCGCACGTTGCTGACCCCTGGTCTAAACAAACTCTCACAATGGCAATTATAGGTCTGCAACAATGGGTTTGCTGAGCAGCAGGTGGGTAGCATGTGAGGGCAGAGGAGGGTGTTTTCACCAGTGAAGCTGCAGTAAGGAAGGTCAAGTCCAATTCTTTCCCCTCTCATCCAGTTTCTCTCTGAAAATGCCCCCTCTGTCCACATTCACCTCAGACAGCGACCACAAAATTTGGACCCCATGTTCTTTGACATTTTGGCCCTGAGAGCCTCAAAATGAGGTAACATAGTGCTGAGGACTGTACCACTTTGTGTCTGCAGGTTTGTTCTCCGTTACAAAAAAATAAAATAAAAATCAATGCGAATAGAAAATGAGCACATCAAAAGACTGGGTTAAATCCCCACTCTTTAATGTATTGATTTTCTGTTTGCAGGGAGGGTTGATTGGTTAGTTGTTTTCGTTTTTTGTTTTACATGCAAATGTGAAGTTCTCCACCTGAAATCAGAAGTGGTACAATCTATTCTGCCAATTTATTCCCACCACATCCAGCTGCATGTAGAGATCCATAGTCCATAATCATTTATCCATTGCCTTGTTTGCACTCCTACTATAAATTCTGGAGTCCGCAAGAAGAAAGGAATGTGTGGAATGTCTATCTGGAGTCTTTGTAAGCCTATAACTAGGAAAGAAGCACATGCATTTTGATTGGACAGTAGAGCCAGTGGTAAAATTCTGTACATTCTAGAGAATTCCTTGCAGGACCTTCTTTGTGGGTCACAAATGCTCCTGTTGGAAAGCAGGAGTGAAAGGTGGAGATTCAAAAAGTTCTGTTTTGTATATGAAAATATGTGTCCTTTTCACCCTTTAAAATTCTTTTTAAAAATTCTTTTTAGAAAACCAACAGACTTACTTCTTACCTGGAACTCTATAGTTTGAATAAAATTATAAAGAAACTTGCTATCCTTTTCGGAGGGAAACATTTTCACATTTCAGTTCCAAGATGTTCTCAGTAGGGAGTTGGGAGTTTTTCATTGTCTGTGCTGGCTCATACTCCAGGCAACACAGACTGGGAATGTGATAGGCTGAACTATACAGTAGAGAGAGATAAGAAAAAGGCGATTTAAGACGTGGCACCCATTTGTTTAGACCCTATCTATATGGTGAAACGAAAAGCACCTCTCTATATCTGTCTGTCTATCCATCTATCTATTTATCAATCTATCGTATCTGGTTCAGTTGCGACGCAAACACAGTAACCTGGTTGATGCCTGCAGGGATGCCAAGCTTCGGTATCTGGTCCAAAAATTAGCTTTGTACATATGCTAAATTAAAGATTGGCAGCAGAAACGGCACAGATCCCATATTGGCAGCCGTTTGCAAATCCCATATTGGCAGACTTCTCAACATAAAAGAAAGAAGGCAAGCTATACAAAGGGCAGAGAGCCCAAAAGAGACCCCCTCCCTCTCTTAACATCAACGAGTGGAACATTCTGAACTCCACTTAAGAAAAATCCAAACGCTGCTAAAAACAGAGAGGTCCTTACCTGCCGCCAGCACAAGGCAGGTACAGAGCTGACCTGCCTATTCATCCTCCTCTGGAGGGGGTGGAGAAAACCTTTCCGCTTGTTCTTAGTAAGCTAAATTTAGCTTGAGCGGAAGCTACAGTAGCTTAAGCTTATTCCCATAACTAGCACTGTGTCTGGCTGATTTTCTTTTCACTCTTGTAAATCAAGAGTCATCTCTCGGAAATCACTGGAAGGCTAGTTCTGCTCAAAAAGAGAAGCACATTCTAGTGGACTGTGTGAATGGGGCACCTCAGCCTGCCCTGCCTTCTTACTTACAGCCAGTAGACAGCACTGGATGTCAGCTTCCTCTTCCTTGGACTTAGTGTTGCCATTGTAGAATTAACTGACTCTGCCTGTCGTTGGCTCTGGCGCCACCTACTGTTAGCCTCCATGCCTTCAGCCTTACCAGTGTCCCAATGGACACCAGCCATCACTGTCACATTCCTGGTTTCTGAATAAAGAGTAGGAATAAAGAGTGTTGTGCTAAGGTGACCACCACACCAGTGCAAGCATTGCAGCTTGCCAGATGGAGGAAACTGGAAGTTCTCCTGACACACCCACACACCTAAGGCAATTTGGGGGGGTGGGGCATTGAGGGGCACAGGAGGAGAGGGGGTAAATCTTTGTTGTGCAAATGGAAGCTCTTGCTTGCACTAATGCATCTCATTGGGGGAATCCCACCCAAAGCGTTTCAGTGATTTCTTTCGGTTAAACTTGTTTATCTTGGTGTTCCACTCCCATACTGAAATATCCTACATCTTCAACATTAGGCATGGCAGAAATCTGAGATTGCTGTTGAGAAGAAATATGAAGCCTGTGGTTTGTGGTGATCTTGGCAAAAAAAAATTCATTTCCTCCATCACTACTACTCAGCTGAAAGAAAAAGAGACCATAATTGAAAAATTGTAGGAGAGAAACAGACATTGCTGCTTCCGCCCCTGCTCCTAATAGATTGAAATGGAAATAACTCCATTTCGAAGGTATCGTGCAGACACTGACCAACAGCTTGATGGAATGTTAGTCAAAAATATTTTTTAAAATACCCAATAATTTATCTGCAACTGTGGGAGAATTTAACCAGGATTTCCTCTTTTAAATTACACACGCATACAACACACACATTTAATTATCGAGTTGCACAATTGTATTAGAAAACAAGTGTATGAGCTCGCCCTTGTATCTTTCAAGCCAAACTCGTGACATCAGGAGACCCATGATTGGACCTCCCACCATTTTTGTGCTTAAAGAGATCCCCGCCCCCTCCCTTTTCCATTATTAGGTATTCAAGACAGCTTGCAAGCATGTTTGTAAAACAATGTTTTCAATCTCAGGCTTCCGCCTGTTGTCTTCTGCATGTAAGATCATCAGTCGTGTAACAAAGGAACAGACTTTCTCACTCTACATTGATGTGAACTCACATTCTAGCTGTCTTGGCATTGGCAGTAGGGCAGAGAACATCCACAATGCCTGGAAGCATCCATCCTCCCCAGACCAAATCTGAATTCTGTTTTCGGATAAGAAGGTCCATTCCATACCCTCAAACATTTCTCCAAATGTTGAAAATAGGGATATCCATTATTATTATTATTATTATTATTAATTATTATTATTCCCCACCCATCTGACTGGGTTGTCCCAACCACTCTGTACAGCTTTCAACATATATAAAAAATCATTAAACATTAAATATTTTTAAAAATCCCTATACAGGGCTGTCTTCATATGTCTTCTAAAGGTTGTATAGTTACTTACCTCTTCGCACAGGGATCACATAACTCCATACCCTCCAACACTTCTTTGATGAAAATAGGGACATCCTAAGGAAAAACAGTGGGACGCGGGTGGCGCTGTGGGTAAAACCTCAGCACCTAGGACTTGCCGATCGCATGGTCAGCGGTTTGAATCCCCGCGGCGGGGTGCGCTCCCGTCGTTCGGTCCCAGCGCCTGCCAACCTCGCAGTTCGAAAGCACCCCTAAGTGCAAGTAGATAAATAGGGACCGCTTACCAGCGGGAAGGTAAACGGCGTTCCGTGTGCTGCGCTGGCTCGCCGGATGCAGCTTGTCACACTGGCCACGTGACCCGGAAGTGTCTGCGGACAGCGCTGGCTCCCGGCCTCTAGAGTGAGATGAGCGCACAACCCTAGAGTCTGTCAAGACTGGCCCGTACGGGCAGGGGTACCTTTACCTTTTTAAGGAAAAACAGGACATTCTGGGATCAGATCAGAAACCAGGACAGCTTCTGTAAATTCGGGACTGTACTTGTAAAATAGGGATACTTTGAGGGTCTGCCATTCAGTGCTACTCCTGCCACAAATTATTCTTCCCTCAGATAGCTGACTGGATTGCTGAGGGGGAGCATAAATTTGATCAGGACTGCAGTGCTGGGGAAGGGTAGTTTAAATTTCCCCCTCCGTGCTGTTCCCTGGATGAAAATCCCTCCCTTACCCAAGCTGCTGTTGGCCCCATGAGCAAAACATACAGGTTACTATATCTCTGCTGTCAAGCAGTTGGGAGATTTGCATCCTAGAATTACATTCCCAGCATTGCAAATTAGAAGAGGCAAGAGAAAGAGCAATAAATGGTTCTGTTCAAAGGCCCATTCTCTACCACACAAAGATGATCTTTGGCCAGATGAGTGTGTGAGCTGTCTCACTGTTGACGCTACTTAAGAAAGCACTGTTCTGCGATAGGTTGCCTCTTTTCGTGTGGCCTTTTCTTGCTAATTATTAGGTATGTAAAATGGTATTTAAGACTCCGTTGGCAATGACTAATGTTTGCTCTGATTTGACCTCCTTGCGCTGGGGCTGCTGCTTCTGTTACGGTAGCTGAGATGTCTCATGTCTACTCCACAGCATCTGCAAACACTCAGCCCCCAAGAGTCATCCTACGCTCAACTGCAGGAGATCATCTTCAGAGAAAAGCTGTTGCAGTTCAGTACAATGGCTTCATTGTCTAAATTACGCAGCAGCAAAAGCAGTAGTAGTTTTTTCTATCTATCTGTCTAGCTATCTAGCTATCTATCTTCTGCTTTCTTTGTGACAAATAGAAATGCAGAGAAATGAGTGAAATCCGCCTGCAAACAGTCCAAATTAGAATAATATCACCCCCCACACAAGACCATAACAGTGGCAGATGGACAGAGGAAGAAAGTGTATATAGTCTTTATTTCCTGCCATTATAGCATAGACCCTTTCAGATTGCAGTAAGCATCTTGCCATCTGCAAATCCAAGTCTTTCAATTTCTCTTGAGGCAATGATTCAAAATTCATGCTTTATGCCTTTTCTCCCAAAATCCTAAATGTTGCATTTTACTTTCTAATAAACAAATGACAAATGAATCCTTGCTCCTGTCCCATCTTCAGATTTTCTTCTGCACATTTCCCTAGAGAATCTGGTCATGGGCAAGAGGGGAGCCAGTCAAATCACTGCAACTTGTTAGCCTGTGCACTTTTTGTGATTGTATGACTACAGTCATTTGCTTTTCCATTCCTGTTTCATTTGCAACCTTTGTCTAGGGCACCGGAAACTGAGGGAAGTGGGGTGGGCAGAGCTGTTTTCCTAACACATTTGAGGAAAGGTGGAAAAAACCTTTCTTGCCATTTCTGGGAGGAGCTTCTTTGGGAGGAAGAGTGGGAAATAATAATAATAATAATAATAATAATAATAATAATAATAATATCTGTTACAGTAATCAAAAGTTTTCCCCCCCAAATAATTATTACATTTATTTCCTTAATCATTTTGTTCTGTTTATATCCTATTCCATCCCAAGATGAAATGACTTGCATGCATATTTAGAACTTTTTTAAATGAATGAAATCTAGATAAATTGTTCTTTCATTTATAGTGTCTTGCCAGGAGGGAGGATAGACCTTTTTCCTTCTTCTGACCATAGACTGGGGACAAACTGTCTTCCTTGTTCCGTCTGCAGTCATAGGGTGTATAAGCATTTTGAGATAGTATTTGTTATGTATTCAGTGGTCTCTGTTTTCCTGAGCTCGAGTCTGGACTAAAGATTCTGAGCTCCTGTGTTCTGATTTGATACATGATGTCCAGTCACAGAACATTTCAGGATTTGGGCCTCTGCCATTGGCCCTTGAACTCTGAGTCATGATTCGCAGCTTGGAAGTTTAGACAGCCAATCACCTTGGGAGTGGGAGTGGCCCAGACTTTCAGGAATGTATATAAGCAGTTGCTTTGCCCGTTTCCCAGTTATGTAGTTCAATAAAGGTTCTTGCTGTTATCACCATGTCTTCCCTTATGGGAACCCACCTACACTTCACTGGGGACAAGGATGGGATGCTAGGCTAGGTATGCAGCCCTGGCTAGCTTCCACAAGCTGAAATCACTGCTGGGAACTACCGCCTCATCTGAGATGAAATCATTGACTGCACCCACAAGGCAGATCACACAGCAGACCTCATGGCCACCCAGGGCCACATCAAGGAATTTGACACCACGGTTCCAGGGAAATGGGACTCCCATGCCAGGTTCACAGTTGCCTTTGGTTCCCCTTTCCCTGGTCATGCAAGCAGGGAGTGGATGATGACGTCCCACATCAGGATTTGTTTTTCCTCTGGCCAATGTCATCCTCCTTGGCTTGACTCATTCTTCTTAATGCCTGTAGGGTTGTGGGGGGAGATATCCTTATGTTAATTTGCTGTTCAATGGATTTAAATGGTGTGTGTCTTTGGGGAAAAACCCAATCACTTTCAGTTAAGCAATCAATCGGTACAGGTGCAAAGGAAAAAGGGCAGTTCTCTAGCCACGCCAGTGGAAATGGAACCTAAGCTAAGATATGAGAACACAGGAAACTTACATCATCCATGTTATCTGTCCATCTAATTCAGCACTGTCTACTTTTTGTAAGTCGTCATGGGACTTTTTTTGTGTACGGATTCTGCTAAATTCAACTAACTAATTAAATGATACACTTGGCTTGCAATGGCTCCCCAGGGTCTTGAGCAAAGTGTTTCCCTTTCCTTGTTTCCTAATTATTTTAAATGGATATACCAAGAGTTGATCCTGGGACCTTCTGCATCCAACGCATGTGTTCTGCCATTCAGTGACTAGCCTGAAGTTGCCCAGTGTTCCGTAGCTGACTAAAGTAGGGTTTTAAAGTAGGTCTTCTCATCTGAATGGCAACACTATCCCCATGGTGGTCAAACTGCAGGCTTGTGAAATCTACTTGGCTATTTGCTGAGACATCTCTATCAGCCACAGCCAAATGCAGAACAGTGACACAGGGAGTCATGAAGTTCAAAGCACATACTCATCCCAGAAATTTATTTATAGTAGCACCGAATTCACTGTCCTTTCAAACAAACAAAAAATTCATTCCTCGTTTACCTTCAAGCTGTCTTCATTGCAGCAGACTAATTTATGATTTTAATAAATATTTCATTTTTTTGCTATTGTTAAACAGCGCTGACTTGGAAACTCTTGCGTATTTACTGCAATTCATCCAGCAATGTATCAGTAGATCCTAATCTACCTTCTATTCAGTGCCACACCACACTGTCCCTCCTTCCTGGCTGAGCAGAAATTTGAGTCCAGTTGTCTCCTGTCTGAGGCTGACACTCTGCCAACTCTGCCACTGAGCTATTCAAATAAGACTGCTCCTCTCATAGCCTGCTATCTCAGACATTCATGGCACCATTCATGGCAGCATACAGGTGTGCAGGTGTCAAGGTTTTGGAGGCAAGAAAGTGCACTCCTTAAGAACAGCAAATAGAAGTGTAGTTCCTTCTACCTGAAAACAAGAAAGGCAGTATGCATAAACAGGAAGATAGAAGGGCCCTCTAGTTTAGTACTGGATGAAATAAACAAGGAGATCCTGGGCACTGCCAGAGCTCCATTGAGAAATATCATGTCCCCTTGGGGCAGTGGAACAGTCATTGGGCTCCACCTCTCCTAAAATGATGAGGCCATTACCATAATATATGTTATGGAACTGTGATCAGTATTCAAAAAGCACAGCAGGATGGCTCAGAAAACAGATCTGGTCAAGCAAGTTGAGGCCAAAGTTTGTCAGACTGAGGTGAATCCAAGTAAGACAAATCAGATTAAGGCAACTTGGTCTACATCTGACTTACTCTGCAATCCCAACTACGATTATCTGAGGGTGAGCCTTACTGAATTCATTAGGGGTTGCTTCTTAGTAGATATGATTCGGATGGTGTTGCTAGATGCCACTGAAAAGCAATCAGGACCATGGATAGTTTCAAGTGTGTTTTACTAGCTGAGCTGTAGAACGGTGTTGTCTCAGCGAGAACTAGAGTCCACGGAAGCCTCAGAAAGGCTGCCAGGGCCAGACTTCCCAGTGCCAACCAACTGGAGAACTGTTACTAACCCTTAAAAGACCCACGGCTGATTCTACAGTCAATGCTCCTGCATGGCTATGGAGTAGGAGAAGCTACAGGAGACTCACCCCCAGGGTTTGAAGATGTAATGATCACGTCTCAAGTCATTTAGAAGGGGGGCAGCTAGCTTTCCTCCTACATACGGTGGGTGACCTGTGATATTTCCCAGTCTGAATCGTCTGGATTCCGGATTCAGGGAGCATAACACACACAGTATGTATGCATAACAAAGCTAGAAATAGAAGAAGGGAACTGCCACAAGTTGCAAGCCTATAAATATATATAATCAATTGGTTTCAAATTACCACACAGAAACAGGAAGTCTTAGGACATTCATTGCTGTTTTATAGATTGTTTAAGCTATGCCTATGAATTGACTCTTGATAAAGATCTCAAGAAGTTGCCTGTCTACACACCAAGCCCCTATAAACCTTAGAATTCTCTTTCCATAATCTTTAGGTGTTGATCCTCATCCATAGATGCTGAACTGTATTTCATGAATAATCTTGTGATTATTTGAAGTTTTATATTTGCATTATTCAAAGCTTACTTATACATTATATCTCTTTCTTCCTTGTTATCCTTAGTTATTCACACCTTCTGTTTCTTGGTTTGTTTAGCATGACCTCATTGAGATTGTGCATGCATAATGAAATGGGCCAGCTGAATTCTCACAGCCTGGATGGTTTAGTGGCTCTAGTGTTTGGTCTGCGTATGGGGAAATCCAAATTCCAATTTTTATCAGCTATAAAGCTCCCCATCTCTTAACCCCACCATCTTTATTTACAGGGTTATACTGCATGTATAACGTTTGATTGACCAAATTGCTTATAAAATTTGTTGGTTACTTCTCTATAAAATGGCCAAAGCAATGTGCAATAATTCATCATATCTGTTGGAAACATAATGTAACAACTTTTTAAACCTGTAAGCTACCCATTGAAAATCAAACTACATTCAGCCGTGCAGCAAGGCAATGTAAGAGACCTTTCGGAAGGCAGGGGAAACTGCTTCAGCTAAAATACAGTACAGTGCTGGAACTTGATGGACTCCTTGGGAAGTCAAGTTCTGTGAGCTTGTATTTCTAACTACAGCAAAGGAGGGCACAATGCTTGAACATACAGTTGCTAATCATATGAACAAATGAATTTTAGGATATGGCAGTGGTGGTTGCTATATCATGCAGAACCCCAGTCCCTAGAATGAAATGAAGAACTACAGATGCTGAAAAAACATGCTTGCTGAATGATGATGTTGTTGTTGTTGCTAGTTTATTTATACCCCGCCCATCTGGCTGCGTTAAACTGGTATGAGACATTCTTAAGCTACTAGTTTAAATTCCACTGGAGTGATAGCCCAAACCACGTGGTGTAAGGTTCAAAAAGTCTCGACCAGCCTTTGCCAACCTGGTGCCATCCAGACAGCTGCCATCAGCCTCAGGCAACCTTCCAAAATAAAGCTGTGGCTAATATGGTGCACAGTTCCATACTGCTGGGCTTGTTTTAAGACTTTGACTTGAGATAGCTGAATGTGAAAGTATCTGTATTCTTTGCATGTGGATTGGTGTGCTAACCAAGTGAAGCTCCGTATGGTATTTACAGTAGGAATAGTTCCTAAATTTATGGCTCATTTCACTTGAGAGAGGAGGGAGAGGAGAGAATTTAACTCCCACGTGCTATGACAGTAAGACATGGGGCAGTTGGGGGGGTGGAGAAAAGTGAATGGGAATCGGTCTGGAGAAGCTGTTTCTAGGCTCCTTGGGACCAAGATTGAGGAAAGAAAGTAGGAAACCATGAGATTGGGAAGGCTTGCTTCTCTATCTCAAAACGTGTTGGGAGATGCATAATCAGCAGGGATAATTGCAATGGCGTCAAGTGTTTTGCTATCCCGCAACAGCAGAGTAGAGGTCCTTCTACCAAGGTGCATGGAACAATAGGAATACTTGTTCAATGAAGGAAGCTGGATCTTAGAAACCAATAAGAAGAGACCATAAAAAGTGGCCACAAGCTGGGATGATTTTCTGCACTCAGTGTTGTAGGATATTTTAAAACCTGATTCTCTAGTGACAAAGTGGGATATGGATTTCATTTTGGAGCATTCCTTTTTTCAAACTGTTTAATGTTCATGTGTCACTATCACGGTTGTGCCAGCTTGCACCTGGCAGCAGTATAAACAAAGCTTTGGCAAGAGTTCTTTCCTTTGGGATGGAGACATCTGATTTTCAAGCTGAAAACATGTCAGTGTTGCGAGACACTCCAAATAGCCTGTTTTTTTTACCAGTACAGTAAATTAACCCGCCTAGTGTAGTGTTAAATGCTTTGCAAACACCGACTGGAGGCAAGGGGGGAAATGGCAAAAACAAACAAAAACACTTCGATAAATTGTTTGCCTAGCTTCGCTGAAAGCAAAATAGCAGAAGCTAAATAAGGAAGGGAAGCTGCCTGGGAATACAAAAGACAGAATGGCAGGATGGAAACGAGACGTTTTTGGGTCTCTGCCTGCTTTCCTGGAATGTGAGAGTGCCCAGGAAAGGCAGTGGGGCAATGCTGAATGAAAGAAACCCCTACAGTAAAATGAAACGGGAGATCTTCTGACAAGGACTTTCAGCCTTAGTGAACCGCTGAAAATTAAATTGATTGAACAAGCAGACTCAATGGCTGCTGCACCAGAAAATAATTAAAAGTGTGGATCTTGCAAGCATTGTCAACCTGTGAGACCAGCAGCACAGAAAGCATCAAATAAACGGAGCTGAACTGAGCTTTTAGGTCACATGTGTAGCAGCTGAAAAATGCAGTCAGAATAGATTGCAACTCTGCAGGGTAGGAGGTGTTTTTCTCTGTTCTGTCAATATTCTGTTCTACAGTGATATAAAAATGCTGTAAAGGAAGGAGACGAGGATGATACACTAAAACCTAGGCTGTTTGTGCTTCACAGTGCCGGGATCCCTTTGCACAAATGCAGATATTGGTGTTTAGAATACAGGGTCTGAAGGATCTCAGGTTCGGGTTTTTTGTTTGCTTTTTTATTTTTTTAAAAAATCAGATTTCTGCCCTTTATCTCTGCAAATATATGTTTGAAAGGGGTGCAGAAAAATGCCTGATAAAATCTCAGAGTGAAGACTGGCATCATGTTAAAGAAACAGCCACAATGGTTTTTCAGCTGTGGTGTAATGAGTCCAGACTTGCAATTCGCAGGATGGGCAATAGATACTAGTGAGCTGAATGCTGATTTAGATGTTTGATTTGTCCCCTTCCCCTCATACTTCAGGCAGGCTTCTTACTGTTTGAAACTGCAATTTTTAAAAAGCAAAGTATATATTGATTTATGCATACATCCTTCATTTTACTTTTTAAAAAATGAGGCACGGTTGGGAATGTGCTGTAGTGACATCACAGATATTATTAGCCTGTCACCAGTAGTGATGGATGAGATAATCTCCTATGGGCAGCCCAGAACCTCCATATACACTGTCCAGGCTTGCACTGTACCCCATAGAAGTCACTATGCGGTATGACTTCATCCCTGGAGGCACACTCCATTTTCTCTTGAGACAGACAGATGCCAACAATTACTCAGCTCAGGGTTGTATGTCCCCCACAAATGGGAGGCTCTTTGATCCAAGGGAAGCTCCATCAGTGGAGCAGGGGAGGTTTTGTTTGTTTGTTTGTTTGTTTGTTTGTTTGTTTGCCAATTTAGCCACTCCCCTCCCCCATATCACCATTGGTGGGGTTGATGAGTGCTGATGCTGGCAGGACTAATCTGTGCAAAGCTCATTCCTTTCCTGTTTAGCTTCCTTAACAGAAAAAGCTTGGTGTTTTCATAAGAGTTCACCCTCAGCTTGCAGAGTTGGTGTAACTGCACTGAGGGTGCTGTGTGCCTGCACATTTTCATATTGCTCTCTCATACTTCCAACATTTCCCCAGTGAAAATAGGAATGTCTATTTCTATTTTTCCAGAAAAAGAGATGCCGAAACTCACAATGAACGCTTCCGTCGTTCTCTTAGAATGGCAATGCTGCCCACCTGAGTTCTGGCGAGTTCCGGCTGATAAAAAGCCCTGGGGAACGTCCTCTTCCATACCCTCCAACATTTCTCCAATAAAATTAGGGATGTCCTAAAGAAAAATGGGACATTCTGGGATCTAATCAGAAACTGGGATGGCTTCTGTAAATCTGGGACTGTCAGTGGAAAATAGGGACACTTGGAGGGTCTGCTCTCTGAGAATTATACTTTGGTTTCAATGCACTGAACCCACCCCACTGCTTGGAAGTTCAACTATAGCCAACAAAACAAACACCCTGGAAAAAGAAAGCATTTTCGATTTGGATAGGGAAAAGGACCGACCACATGAAATGTTTGCAAGAAACAATCAAGAGAATTCACCTAAATAGGGAAGTTCCTCACCAGACCAAAACGCCGGTCTGGTCAAAACAGCAATCGATGAGAGTTTTACTGAATGAACAGAGCTAGCAATAAATAACTTTTGTGTGCAGTGTGCATGCATTTAGAAATCATTGGACACTCAGTATACTTTTCTTTTTAATTAGTTTTTATTAAAAAAAATTCTTCTGTAACAAAAAAAGTACATACAGCGTTCAATTCATAGAGTCGTTTTCACAGTTTGTTTACATTTGGTGTGAGACACTGTTGTCACAGGCACTTAGACAAGAGCTTCTGAAGGAAGTGATGACGCCTCTTCCTGATGTCTCTTCATAACTGATAGGAGCCATTTGAAATTTTTGCACATCTGCATAAGATAATTGCAAGTTTTGATGTCAGCACTGACTGGTATCCTTCAGAGACCATTCTGCCCTCTTTCAAACTGGACCTTACTGAAAACACGCAGAACTGTTTTCTTCTTCCTGGGGGTCCCGGGGTCAGAAATGGTATGAAGCATTTATTTGTGGGGGAAGGTTACATTTTCCACCTGATTTTAAAGGCTATCCAAGATTTGCAGACCTCTTTGAAAGTTAACAGCTCAAGCAAGAAATTGGGAAAGGCAGGGAGAGAAAGAGAGCCAGGGTATATTTTTGCTGACTCTGTTTCTTCTTCTGTTACACATTACTGTCAAACTTCAGAGCACACAACAGTGCTCAAGAGGGGAAGATCTTTGCTTGAGTGTCCCAGAAGCACACTTCCCTTTTGAAAGGAACGTTTCCTAGGAAGCGTATTTATCACGTATCACTGCAATGTGAAAATGAATAAGGGTGAAGAGGTACAGGGTTGGGTTCTTCACTGACAGCGAATTAACTCATACGGTTCTGCTGCAGGTTTTTACCCACAGAACAGAAACTGAGTTCTCCAGGGTTGGGCTACAGCCACATCATGTCTTTAAAACCACATGGGCTATCTCCAAAGAATCATGGGGACTTTTCTTTTCTTTAAGGGTGCTGTAGCTCTTTGACTCCTGCCAACCTAGCAGTTCGAAAGCATGTCAAAGTGCAAGTAGATAGATAGGTACCACTCCAGTGGGAAGGTAAACGGTGTTTCCGTGTGCTGCTCTGGTTCGCCAGAAGCGGCTTAGTCATGCTGGCCACATGACCCGGAAGCTGTACACCGGCTCCCTCGGCCAATAAAGCGAGATGAGCGCCGCAACCCCAGAGTCGGCCACGACTGGACCTAATGGCCAGGGATCCCTTTACCTTTACCTTTAGCTCTTTGACGGATAGACTGCAGTTCTCAGGATTCTTTGGGAAAAGCCATGACTGTTAAAGTGCTATAAATGTGCTTTAAATATATTTAGTGAGAGGCCTTTATAAGTTGCTCCTAGGTTCATTGGGTTTCCCCATGTCAGGCTAAGATCAAGTAGAAACGGGATGGAAGTCATGATATCTTTCTGTCATTAGGTGGGCTTTTGTAGATGAACACATTCAGTATGTTTGGGCTTCTTAGGATATTTTTACTATGTATATGTACACGCTATCCCAATCTCCTCAAGCAGCCTGTAATCCCAGGGGTTCTGGGCATTCTCCCAGGGTTATGCTTCTGTGGGGAAGATTGAAGCAAAATGGAGCCTAGTTTAAGAAACATGGTTTAGTAACACACATTTACACCAGGAAGTCTGCAATGGAGGGCGTGCAGAACGTTATACCCCAAGAGTCCGTCTCGTTGCCCCTCTCATAGCTTCAGCAAGCTTGGTTCTAAAGCAGCAGTCAGGCATGGCTCCCCATCTCTTGGTTGTAGCCTCCCCAGCCAGCAGCCAGATGGTCCTGACTTCCAGTCCCTGCGTGGAGTTCTGACCTGCACAGCAGCTCATGCAAGTCTGACCTTTGTTCTCCTTCCTCTTCCCAGCACACCTCTCCCCTCAAACCCAACCCTCCTGTAAAATGGCGCTTTTTCCTGTCACGGCCCAACCCTCCCTGTCAGTTGGCAACCCCTGTTTTTCACAGTCCTGAGACCCTTCCTTTGATGGGCTAATGGCTTTGCTCTTAAGTAGCCCAGCTAGGCTGGTTTGCCAGGGATTCCTTGTCCAGCACAGTTCTACACTTTCCCTTCCTATCCCCAGATATTAGCTAGATTCTGAGATTCCTTAATTTATTGGGGTCTCTCCCGCCCAAACGAAACCTATAACAATATTGTACGTTGCTGTAATTCCTTCAGGATTATTATTAATATTTTCTGTGGGAAGCAATTTTCAAATTGAATGAGTTGAACCGAATTGAGGGAAGAAGACAAAAGGTAACATGTTTAGAGAAGTGGAGCCACTTTCGGAATGGCCCTCTAAAAATGAAGTATAAAGTCTCTTTTCCTCTCCAGGATTGACCTCTGGGGGGGAAGCAGTCCTGAAATTTTGAAAGAGAACCTAGCTATACATTGTGATGATAGTTGACAAATTTGCACTTTTTTATATATAAAAAAATGTTTTCTTAATAAGGAGATACGTACATAGATAAACAAATGAACGGTCAGGCAGTTCATGATTTTTTTAAAAGGCGGACATCATATGGGGAAGGGAAAAGATGGGCACATGAGCCAATGTTGTGCACTTCTGCCATTTAGCAGTAGACTTGTGAGGAAACAAGACATATCCCACAGCAGCTGCAGAGCAGGAGGTAGGAAGTCTGGATCCAAGGAAGTCCTTGGAGTCTGGATCTGCTGCCCTTCCCACCTGCTACCCGAGGTGACTGCCTTACCCAGCTTAATGGGTGAGACGGCCCTGGAGCTAGGGAAAACACACATTGACAACATCGCACAAAGGGATGAGGAGGCATGTGAACTTGAACAGAGATTATTTAACAACAGCATTCAAACTGAAATATTTGCAACATACTGGTTGTTTGGCAAGAACTCACAAGTGTTGCCCTGAGTTTCTTCCTTTGGATTTGAATTAGCAGGGCCTTTACTGTGGCGGCACCTACTAATTGGAACATTCTTCATCCAATAATACTATTTTTGGTACATGCAGACTGCTTTTCTGATTACAGGGGGTTTTGTTGGTCAAGCGCACTGCTAATTCTGAATGTGTCAAATTATTAAAGTGTGGAAATGTGGTGTATTTTTATTTTTCTCGTACATACTTTGGTATTTCTAATGTTAGCAGTTTGTAGGTCTTTTTAAATGTATAAGAATATGCATCCATGTTTGGGGGCACCTGTTCTCATATGTGACCAAAATTGGATCTGTGCCATTGCCTTTCCTTGTGGGTGTCTGTTCGTTCGACAATGTTTATTACTACTAAACTATTCCGTGGCAAAGGTGCAGTTGTGGACAGAACATAGACATGGTTGTGGTCCTCGTTCTGGGGCCCTGCAATGAGATACAGAGCTTGAAAAGAGACACAAGTGCTTGATAAAGCAATACTGAGGGTGAGGGAGAGAAGGCTTAGAGTTGTAGCTGTATTTCAGCACCTTCGGAGAATACAAGAGGTAAATTACAAGGCCAATAAGAAGAGAAATTTTCTCTTGTGTAGACTGATGTCACACTTAAAAGTTTGCATTACAGATGTTGGTCCAAGTACGAACTGAGCATTCTTATAGGAGGCCTTGATCCTGGTTCATCAGTGGTGGGCCTGATCCTGGAAATACAGGCGTCCCTCCACTTACACAGGAGTTATGTTCTGGGTTATGTCACATTCATAAGTGAAATTGTGAAAATTGGAGAGCATCCTCCGAACACTCTTTAAATGCCCTCTCTGTCATGCTCTCTTCAATCCAGACCAAAAATACTATATCCTAAATATCCACAACCAGAATTGAAGCTTTTGGGCTAGCAGAAGGCTGAACGATGTGCAGGAACGTGGCTGCAGCTACAACACTACCCTGCACATCAGCTGTTAGGCAGGGAGGCTGAGCAGTGTAAACAAAGCCCCACTGCGGCTCCAGTCTCTTTGGGGCTTCCTCCACCCTCATTGAGGTCCTCTCCGGTCTCCAGGGAGGCTCTCCTCTCAAGTTACAAGGACTTTCCAGGTCTGTCCTACCATTTCCAGGTTTGAATTTGAATTCTTTGTTTATTCTCAGCACCGCGCATGTACATGGTCATGCGCAAGTCGATCACACATTAAGGGGGGGCGCCTGTACATGAGAAAAATGTCTCTGAACCTCAGGGGCGGAGCTTAGTGAAGGGTTCCATCTCATGCTTCCATCCTGGTTTACCACTTTTGTGTCCCTGGGGACCAGAGGAGATGAGGGGTGAGGAGCACATGGGAATATGGCAAGGAGTCACATGTCTGAGTTCCTGGAATTAACTGGGTCCCTTGGTGGTGTGTTCTTTATAGAGGTTGTCCTGGAGTCCCCACTAGAGGGAGCCAGCTCCTGCTAGTCCCCTCCATGTCCTGGGAACCTGTGTAGGAGATACCCTTCCCATCAAGGCCCCATCAAGTCCATGCTCTTGGGAGCTGGCAGTGCCCTGATACTGTGGCCCTGGCCTTCCTGCTTGCAGTTCAAACAAGAGTATCCTGCAATGGAGGTGGGTGGAAGCTCAGGCTTCCAAAGGCACTGAGGAACTCATTAAAGTAGCACATCTTGTGGGGCCGTTATAAAGGCAATGAAGAATCTGCTAAACGAGAACGTCAGCTTTTTGAAGTATTGTTGAAGGTACTCTAGGATTATTGATTCTGACAATAGTCCGTTTTCCACACAAAATTGGTCAAACACGGAAAAAGCAGGGGCTACAGACGGAGGAAAGTATGAAGACACAATACTGTGGTACCTTGGGTTAAGTACTTAAATCGTTCCGGAGGTCCGTTCTTAACCTGAAACTGTTCTTAACCTGAAGCACCACTTTAGCTAATGGGGCCTCCTGCTGCCGCCGCACCGCCAGAGCACAATTTCTGTTCTCATCCTGAAGCAAAGTTCTTAACCTGAAGCACTATTTCTGGGTTAGCGGAGTCTGTAACCTGAAGCGTATGTAACCTGAGGTACCATTGTACTGTGTTTTGGAAAAGGGATATCTCTGTAAGAGATACCAAAGCACTGATGTAACAGAGCGTTTGTAAAACTGAGAATAAGCTTGCATGCTATCAGAGAGAAAGCTACCAGTTCCAACTTCCAAAATTAATTTCTGGTACGACATGTTGCAAAAAAAGGCAGAACTGCCATTGAAAGCAACAGCCACATTTCCTTCAGTAATGTGTAGTTCAGCATAGTTCACGTCTTTACACTTGTGTTCCGCCATCCTGTGTCAGTGGCATATGCATAGAGGAGCGGGGGCTCTCTTTTATTCCATTCTTACTCGGTGTGGTTTCTTATTGTGTGTGTTACTATTTTAAAAGGGGGAAAGAAGAAGTTAACGCAAGCAAAACTGTGAAAAGAATTCATATTGGTCATGTAACTAACTGAAGTATGAGAGAAATGAGAGAGGAGGTTTTAATAAAACCATATGGAAGATTGATTTAGTCTGGTGATGATTTTGGAAGAGCCACCTATTACCCTGCTGCTGAACAAAATTCAGGACTTGAAAGTTGTAAGAGTAAGCAACCAAATGGAAGAATTCCCAGAGGCGTAGCTATGGTAGTGTGAATGGTACAGCAAAAGCAATAGTCTTGTGGCACCTTGAAGCAGTAACAAATGTATTATAGCATAAGGTTCTGTGGACTACAGTCCACATCATCTACTGAATGGAGTATTATCCTGATTTACACGGGGAACACATGTGGGGGGATGCAGTGGTGGAGGAAGCCGTTCAGGTGCCTGGGGTGGCGTGCCTAGGGGCGGGGCGAGCCGCCCATAGGGGCTGGGCGCACTACAGGGCCTCCGGAGTCTGCCTGCCTCCTCCCACTCAGCCACCCTACAGCTGGGGGGGAGGAAGCGGGCAGACCGTTTGGACAGCGCAGAGCCTGCGCGCGCCCAAGCCACCGCGTCACTCCCAGGAGAGACGCATGGCTCGGGCATGCTGCGGGCCCCGCAGTGAGTGCTGCCCAGCATTTTGTCACCCCCACAGTGGTGACACCTGGGGCGGCCCGCACCCACCACACACCCCTTCCTCAGCCTTGGGGGGTGGGGTTTGTAAACAGTGATGTTAGAAGGAAAGGGAATGCAGAAAAGTATAATTATGTTATTAACAATGCCATTCACAAAAGAGCAAGTTGTTTATAACACCTTGTCATTGGTAAGCCAATTAACACCTGTAGTGTGATTTAAACAAAATAAAAATCCTTTGTCCCAATTCAACCCACAAGTGATAATATTGAATCCCTTAACGAATTGTACCTCGGGTTAAGAACTTAATTCGTTCCGGAGGTCCGTTCTTAACTTGAAACTGTTCTTAACCTGAGGCACCACTTTAGCTAATGGGGCCTCCCGCTGACGCCGTGACACCGCCTCACGATTTCTGTTCTCATCCTGAAGCAAAGGTACTATTTCTGGGTTAGTGGAGTCTGTAACCTGAAGTGTCTGTAACCCGAGGTACCACTGTAATTCAATTGTTTGCAGGAATAATGAGGAGTGTGTGTGTGTGTGTGTGTGTGTGTGTCTGTGTGTGTGTAATATATATTCCATTGGGGCAAGCTCTCCAGTTTGGAATAACAGGGAGGATAGGAAATAACCATCACAAACTCTGTTTCGCTACATTTTTCCAGAAGAAATTTATAGACAAATTGTTCCTCATTGATTCTCCCCTCTGTTTAGCATCTTTTGACAGTAATAGCGATTATCTGTCCTGGTTGAATCCTCAGCTGAAAACCTGAAACAAAATGACCCGGCCTAGCCTGTTTCAACACTGGCATTTCTAGGGAAGGGGAACAGCTTGTAAAAGAAGTTCCAAGTTCTCTTCCTTTGGCACAAACATCCTGCCAGAGTAATGACCCTCCTTAGGAAATATGTAGGCTGACTTTGACAAAGGAAAACTGAAGCCTAGGGTATGGTGGCACCCGGTACAGACAAGAGACAAAAGCATCAGCAATGTCAGGCTGCATAAACAAACCACTACAGGGGACTAACATTAAATCATAATTGCATGTTTTATCATGTCAGTACTGTCACAAAACAGCTAACTCTGGCTGCGACTACAGTAATTAATTTTCTACTGCCATGTGAAATATATGGAGTTACCCTTAACTATCAGGCAGAAGCTACAATCTGCTTGCCACAGTACTAGATCAGATTTTTAACATTACATGAATTGAAAGGTACTGTAATTAACCAGTCTTGGGGTGGTGCTTTGTACAGCAATTGGTGCTTAAGTACCCCAACAAAATTAGATTCTAAATCCACGTTGCTTTATTATTTTTAGCACTTTTAATTTGTCCAGGGCTTTATGGTGCTTATTGCGTTCAGCCTTGCAAAAGCCACATGGTGCAGACCAACATTGTTCTTCATTCATTTGCACATGCGTGTCTTCTCTCATTTTCGCTACACAGCAATAGAAGAATAGAATAGTCTTTTGGATTTCCCCCTGCAACTTGATTTTATATCGTAAAAAAAAACAGACTCTAGTTGAGAAGGAAAAGCACCTGTGAAAAGACAACTCAAATACATAAAGGTGTATTTATAAAGGCACTTTTCTGTTGTAGCATCTGTGAGGCGGGGCAAATCATAAGTATCGGGGTGATATATCCAAGAGCAGAAAAAGAGACTATACTCCTTTTGTTACAAGTCCAGAAAAACAATTCTCAATAAAGACATCTTTATCAAGTCATTTCTTTATGACGGTTATGGTTTGTATTTCCCTTTACAGTTCTACATCCGTCCTGTCATACTACGTTGCTGTTTTGTTTTATTTTTACAAAATGCTAATTCAGACATTTGGACTTTGTAATAATGCATTTGTGCATTGCCGGCATTTGTTTAGGGTTGTTTATCCTTTATAGTTTTATAAATGAGTCTAAGGGGCTCCGTCTTAGTTGTCACTTACTTCCCCCCAATCTTGCATTCTGTCTTATCCTATCCGACAGTAGAATTGAGACTACTCTAATCCCTAGAAGTTTGGAACTAATGAACTAACTGCTGAGCTGCTGCCACGGAGCTTGGTCCCAAGCTATACTGTACTTCACACTCGATTTATTCTCCAGATGGCGAGTCTCTGCTGCCCCGCTGCGAGGGACCACCTCTTCCACTGGAGTGTAAAAGTGGACGGATGTTGTTTTCTTTGCAGATTTGATAATTCAGAGCTGGTAACTTGTGAAGATGATTAGTTATTAACTTTAATGGATGCCAGTTGAACCAACTGCACGCATATTCTCTTTTTTAATTTCAGTGTCTGTTCGTTGTAGCGATGCTTGATTTATCAGCAGTGCCGATGTGGCCAAAATCACAGCGTTCCCCCCCCCCCCCCATTTAGTAACAGACCTCACAGGGCACCCAAGCTTCTCATCAATTCAGAGTTAGATATTAAAATGAGGGAATTAATATGATTATTGGTATAAATTTGCATTTTAAGGATTCCCTCCAACAGATTATAAGTAAACATTGTGTTGATGAATGTGCATACTTCACATTTTCTTTGCCATCAATCTCCACATTTATAGAGTATGGAACCGGGGTGATGATTTTCGTAGGCGCATCCCAATTAATTAAACTTGCAGTCATCTGACCTGCTGGATGAAGTACTTTGGTTATGTAGCTGTTTGGAGAATTTACAGTTCTTCTAACTATAAAATATATTTTAACTGTCCTGGTAAGGGTTCTTAATTAACTATAGAATGGGAGGCAGGCAACATTTTTCAGAGTAAGCTCTGAGTATAAAGCTCTGGTTTCATTGATTCTGGTTTAAACCTGAAACTTGTGTGTGGATATGATAATGCTAATAGTGTCTTATTGCAGTAAGCTCTCTGCCTGTACAACATGCTTTTCTCTATTTGGCCGGTTTTGTATGCAAGCAAGCCACTGGCAAAATCAGAATCTCCTGGGTAACTTTAGCAAAAGCTGAAGCTCTCATTTAGCAATTCCTTCGTTGCCTTTGTAATAATGGTCCTACAAGATGCGCTACTATAATTTCCTGTTACTTCTTCAGTGTTTTAAAGGGGAAAGATCATTGTTCTTTTGTATACATGGATTCATTTAAGTATAGGCAAATTTTAAATTGCTCCATTGCGTAGCACTTAGTCTTAAGTTTAATAGAATGGTCTTAAATAGTGTGGTAAGGCCTCTTTGCTGAAGCTAAGCAGATCTGGGTCTGGACTGCTCAGTGCCCGGATGGAAGACCATAAGCTCCATGTTGACTGTGATGGGTTTCATCAGGGAATAAGAGAGGGATAGAAATGGAATACAGTAAATAAAATACAATGGTACCTCGGGTTAAGTTCTTAATTCGTTCCGGAGGTCCATACTTAACCTGAAACTGTTTTTAACCTGAAGCACTACTTTAGCTAATGTGGCCTCCTCCTGCTGCTGCGCCGCCGGAGCACGATTTCTGTTCTCATCCTGAAGCAAAGTTCTTAACCTGAAGCACTATTTCTGGGTTAGCGGAGTCTGTAACCTGAAGCATATGTAACCTGAAGTGTATGTAACCTGAGGTACCACTGTAAGTGGAAAATAAATAACACACAAGTTGACACAAAAGCATGCCAACTGTAAAAATTAGAGGAAAAAATTTTTTTTTATTCGTTTACATCTGTGTCTCACCCTTTGTGCAAAGAACTCAGGGTTATTTTCTTGCTGCGCTGAGAAGCTTGTTCTTCCAGTTGCATGCTTGTGAGCAAACTCAAAAAGCCTTTGTGTTAAGAACTTCTCTCAGTTTTCTAGCAGTTCATTCCTGGCGTCCTAATCCTAAACACATTTACTGGGAAATAAGCCCCACTGACTTTGCTTTGTAAATGTGCTCAGAATCAAGGCCTACATATTTAGGATCCAACCCAATGCAAAACACTGCAGCTGCTCAAATCATCATCAGAGTTACAATGCATACTGCAAAGCAGCTGTCCCCAGCAGTGGACTGGGTGAGGAGGAGCTGGGAAGTGGTGGGAGAAGAAGCAACACGTGTATAAGGCAGCTACAAGTGTCTTCTAAGCCAGAGTATCAATAGGCCTTAGATCAGTGGTTCTCAAAGAGCGTGGCAAGACACACTGGTATAGCAGCAAAAGATGGCAAATGCAGAATCTGCAAGCATCCCTATTTCCCAGGGACAGTCCCGAATTAACAGAAACAGTCCCAGTTTCTGATTTGATCCCAGAATGTTCCACTTTTCCTCAGGGTGTCCTATTTTCATTGGAGAAATGTTGGAGGGTATGGAGTTATGTGACCCCCAAGCCAAGGAGATAAGTAACTATACAACCTTTAGACCTTCCCTGCATAGGGAAGTTTTCTAATGTTGTTTCTTCTTCTTCTTCTTCTTCCTCTTCTTCTTCTTCTTCTTCTTTTTATGTTTTTATATATATTGGAAGCTGCCCACAGTGGCTGCAACAACCCAGTCACATGGGTGGGATATTAATATTAATAATAATAATAATAATAATAATAATAATAATAATTTTATTATTATTGACATCCCTATTTTCACCGAAGACATGTTGGAGGGTATGCAAGTGTGGAAGAAAGCTTGAAGGATAAGCTAAGAAGCATTTAAACATTTCAGTGTAGTAGAGTAATAGTCTAGTCTAGTCTTTTATTTTTAAGAAATTATATAGAACCAGAAACAGTATCCATGCCTCTCTTCAAGAGCATTGGCTATTCTTCTACAGTTCTTCATGACATATTGTCTCAGATTAAACCTAATGTAAATGAGATTACCTGACAAATGCAAGCTCACACCTCTTATTCAGCTTGTATGCATACCAAAGGTACATATGTAAGAGGCTCACTTATTAATGTTATTATGTAGCTGCATGGCTTTATACTTTCTTGATATCCCATGATCATATATTATAAAGTAGTTGTGGTCTATGTTATTTATCAAGCACTGCTAGGAGCTGTTTATTTTTGTTTTCCAGTGCATCCTTTTTAACTTATTTATTGATACTTATTCACAGCTATACAAACCCATTACAAAATACATTTTATATAATATACAGTGGTACCTCTGGTTGCGGACGGGATCTGTTCCAGAGCTCCGGTCTGATCCCAAGATTTTCACAACTGGAGGTGCCTGTTCTGCACATGCGCGTGGCACAGTAGAGCGCTTCTGCGCATGTGCGCACGGCAAAACCCGGAAAAATACTTCCGGGTTTGCCATGTGCGTATCCCGAAGGATACATAACCAGAGGTGCGCGTAAGTTGAGGTTTCACTGTACTAAGATAAAATAGCTACTTAGCCTAAAAAAGAACAAAGTCAGAAAGAAGATACAGCAAGAAAAGGAGAGGGAAGAAGGAGAAAGTGATGAAAATTTGAAAAGAGTAAAAAAAGTAAAAGGACTTCCATCTCTCTGTTCTGCAGTGGCATGTAATATTCATCCGTTAAAATCCAACCACTCTATGTTCACTCTTCAATCTTCAAATCCTAATATTGCCTGTTCATTTTCTCTCTCACACAAACGTCCATGATAAATTTCCAATCCTTGACAAATGTCAGTAATGTTTTTTCTCTAATTAAACATGTGAACTTTGCCATCTCAGCCAGATCCAATAATTTTATCAGCCATTCTTCTATAGCAGGTAGGGCTGTATCTTTCCATTTTTGTGCATGTAGCAGTGTCGGCACTGTAGACATGTACTGGAGTAATCTTCCATAGCCAGTGTGGTATACAGTGATGCCTCGCAAGACGAAATTAATTCGTTCCGCGAGTTTTGTCGTCTTGAGATTTTTTTTGTCTTGCGAAGCACGGTGTCGGGAAAGTTTTGGAAAAGCTTCAAAAATCACCAAAGTCTTTAAAAACCTCAAAAAAGGCTACCACACCGCTCCTCGAAGTCAAGTCGCAACTGTATTAATGGTGTTAAGAAAAAGGAAACAAACTTGCAAGACGTTTCCGTCTTGCGAAGCAAGCCCATAGGGAAAATCGTCTTGCGAAGCAGCTCAGAAAACAAAAAACCCTTTCGTCTAGCGAGTTTTTTGTCTTGCGAGGCATTCGTCTTGCGAGGTACCACTGTAGCGGTTAAGAGCGGTAGACTCATAATCTGGGGAACCGGGTTCGTGTCCCCGCTCCTCCACATGCAGCTGCTGGGTGACCTTGGGCCAGTCACACTTCTTTGAAGTCTCTCAGCCCCACTCACCTCACAGAGTGTTTGTTGTGGGGGAGGAAGGGAAAGGAGATTGTTAGCTGCTTTGAGACTCCTTAGGGTAGTGATAAAGCGGGATATCAAATCCAAATTCCTCCTCCTCCTCTTCTTCTTCTTTTCTAACTGTATGTCCAATAACCCTAGCTTCAGTTGAATACAGTGGTACCTTGGTGGTCGAATGCTTTAGTTGTCAAACAAATCGGCTCCCAAATGTCGGAAACCCAGAAGTGAGTGTTCTGGTTTGCAAACGTTTTTTGGAAGCCAAATGTCTGACACGGCTTCTGCAGCTTCCGATTGGCTGCAGGAAGCTCCTGCAGCCAATCGGAAGCCATACCTTGGTTTTTGAACCGTTTTGGGAGTCGAATGGAGTCCCAGAACGGATTAAATTCAAGAACCAAGGTACAGCTGTATTAACCTTTAAAATCTGCTGTATCAATTAGGTATTTGTATCCAATATTTTTTAGCCTTTTTTACATGTCGACCAGGCATGATAAAAAGTCCCTTCATGTTCTTGGCATTTACAGCAAACACTTCCAGCAAATTCCTGAATAGTTTCTCAGGACTTAAAGGCCGATACATCACTTTACAAAAATTATCTTTAAGATTGTAACACAATTTAATTTTTAGCCCCTTACTCCACATATGTTCCCACTGTTCTATCTGTATTGTATAACAAATAAAATTGCCCATTTAATCATGCATTGTTTAACCATTCCTTCTTCCATTTCAATTTTCCCACAAGATTTATACATTTTTGCAAAATGTATGAAAAATTGGTGTGGCGTGCGCAAATCTTTATTCTGAAAGTGTGGCCTAGAGAAAAAAGCTTGAGAATCCCTGCCTTAGACTATATTCTGCATTTCCCCCTGACTGGAAAAATAAACTGTAGCTATACAGTACAGGCATTGGAATATTTTCCTCTGGTGTCTTTGAGGGGGTTGGGAAAGATGCAGTCCTCACTATTAGCATTCTATGAAGGATGCTTCAGTTATACTCCCTACAGTGACAGATGCTGAAGACCACTCTACTCTAAGCAATGTTCTGACAATGAAGCAGTTGATGAGCACATTTTCTTATCCAGATTAGTGAACGTAGTGCCCTCCAGACCGTAACTCCCATCATCCCTGACCATCAGGTTTGATAGGAATTGAAGGCATCAGGTTGGCTACTCCTGTTCTCTTTTTAGCTGAGAGTTTCAAATATCTTTATATTAAAGGGTGCATCCATAGTGAGTGTTTAGTATGGAATTTATTCTTACTACAGTGGTACCTCGGGTTACAGACACTTCAGGTTACAGACTCTGCTAACCCAGAAATAGTACCTCGGGTTAAGAACTTTGCTTCAGGATGAGAACAGAAATTGTGCTCCGGCGGCATGGCAGCAGCAGGAGGCCCCATTAGCTAAAGTGGTGCTTCAGGTTAAGAACAGTTTCAGGTTAAGTACGGACCTCCGGAATGAATTAAGTACTTAACCGAGGTACCACTGTACTGCTACTAATACTATTACTGTTATTCATTTTTGAGCCTCTAAGTGGCTTGCAAAATTTTAAAAGCATAAGCAATAAACATAACATAAAATCAGGAAAAAAATACATTGCAACAAAAACTATACAGTGGTACCTCGGGTTACAGACACTTCAGGTTACATATGCTTCAGGTTCCAGACTCCGCTAACCCAGAAATAGTACCTCGGGTTAAGAACTTTGCTTCAGGATGAGAACAGAAATCGTGCTGCGGCGGCAGTGGGAGGCCCCATTAGCTAAAGTGGTGCTTCAGGTTAAGAACAGTTTCAGGTTAAGAACAGAACTCCAGAACGAATTAAGTTATTAACCCGAGGTACCACTGTACAATAATTCAGAAAATATACCCAATAAAACAGTAGCATAAACTTTGGCAGCAGAATTGTGTCATCAATAAATGCAGAATCATCACTCTTTCATTAACTCTCTTTTTATACAAGACACCTGCGTGTGTCTTGCGTTTTCCACGTGGTTCTTCCAACTTTTTTCAGAATGCCGAAACTCTCATCTTTTTTACGAATGGAAGAGCAGCACAATGTCTGCAGGTATAGATGCCTCTTGCACTGATCTGCCATCTTTTTTTAAAGAGCAATTTGATGCAGGAAAGTGACCTGCCAAGAAAATGACCCTATTAAAACACAGCACCCTGTTCCAGAGGGTTTCTCATTATGAACTTGTTCATTACAGTATCTTTTAATCAATTGTTTAAATAGCACTAAAATGGCCGAGAGAGAGAGAGAGAGAGGTATAGCTATTACACCATAAATCTATAGGGGAAAATTCAGTGTGGCAATTGTTCCATCAGCATAAGTTTTTCAGCTTGTCATTCAAACAATTCTCCTATTAGTCATATTCTCCCCCTGCATGCTGTTCTGGGGGGCTCCACAACCCCTCCAAACCATTTTTTGCGGTTATGCAGGAAAAGGTGAAGAAAAACCCTGTTACGTTGGCTGCTGCTGCTGCTGATTTTCTTCTCCTATATTTTTTGATGACGATGCTATTATGAGAATGTCTTTTATTATGCATTTCTCGTTATTGTAATTGTACTTATATAACTGTTTTGATTTTGATACTGTATAGATATTCTGTTACATATTGACATTTGTGTTCCGTTTTGTAATCCACTCTGCGGCCTTTTGACAACTGGCAGCATATACATTTAATTAATAATAATAATAATTCAATCTCACCCATGGTGTTATATTTTTGAAATGATTTATACAAAAAAAATTGTTAACTACCTTTAACTATATTGCTAAGATGGCAGAACCAGGCAGAGGGCCTTTTCAGTAGTAGCACCCGCCCTGTGGAATGCCCTCCCATCTGATGTCAAGGAAATATATAACTACCTGACTTTCAGAAAACATATGAAGGCAGCCCTGTTTATGAAAGTTTTTAATGTTTGATGTTTTATCATGTTTTTAATATTGTATTGGGAGCTGCCCAGAGTGGCTGGGGAAACCTAGCCAGATGGGCGGGGTATTAATATTATTATTAATAATAATAATGGCAGTGATCAGAAACTTTCCCTAATTCTTGTTGTTGTTTTATCGCATGCTTATGACTGGGAAACCCAGCCAAATGGGCGGCATAGAAATAAATTACTATTACTATTAGGCACTGTAACACCATAATACAAAAAAAATAGTATTGTCGTGTTATAGTGCTATACCTCTTTTTCACTTAAATAGAAAGAAACAGCAGAGATAATTTCAAAAATTTTAGCAGGACCATGAAAAGATGTTCACCACATTGGTAAATCAGGCAAAGAGCTTCAAATCACCCTCGTCCACAGCAGCTAAACCTCAACACTTAGAATGTACACGTTGGGCAGGGGGGATTCAAAACTCCTGATGGTGTGGAAAGTCAGTTCCAATTCAGGTTTACAATGGAAGACCAATGACCAAGTAGTTTTTGGAGCCATGACACATGGAAGGATCTCGCCTCAAGCCTCCCCCTATGGAATTTCTCAAGTTCATTTCATATGAGTCGCTCCATACAGAGTGATCTATAGGGGGAGATAACAAAAAGGAATGTAGGCTGAACATACCTGGAGCTTTTGAAATCCTCAAACTTGTGAAGCGGTGTAATCTTATGGTTAGAGCTTAAAAACATTTTGTAAATCACATAAAGTTGCATCTGATAAAGTGATAGTGGGACTTGTTGCTAAGGAATAATAATTTTCTTTAAATGGACAGAGCTAAAATATAATGTTTCTATGAAAATCTATTATCCACCCAACAGATGGCAAGAGCGTATAATCTCTCACAGTAACACATTTTTCTTCTGAAATATGGAGTAGGAGAGTAACTTGATTGCTGGCTGGTTATTTTGAGGTATGTAGCAGAGGATGTACATATTTGGTTTATGAAAATTACTCACAACAGCAGACTGAGGCCGTAGTTCTTACTAAGGCAGTAAACCTGGGTCTGAGCTGTATTCTTCTGACTGCTGGTGGGGGCCCAAAATAATTGATCATCAAATGTTTCCCGATATAAAACTATTCTTTCTGCGTAGCAGATTGGTAGGGCTGCAGCGTTTAGTTGTTAAATTGTTTCCATTAAACTTTGAATTGCCCTCAATTAATTGGGCAACATGCTTTTTAATTAAAATTAAAAATATTTTAAATAGATTGGATCCAAAGTGGAAAGATGACTAGGTCCAGCTCTACCATTAGACAGAGTGAGGCGAATGCCTCAGGCGGCAGCCCTCTCATTGTTCCTTTTAAGCCCTCTTGCCGCTCTCCTCAGTCTGAGAACAGAGTTGTGCAGGCCTCATGGCCTAGCCTACTCCCACTTTTGACTCAAGCAGCAAAATGTCTTGCTTTCCCCCTGCACGTCTCCAAAAAAAGCCGTTCCAGAGGACCAGGACACTCCTAAAGAGTGTGGGCTATGTCCCAGGGGACTGCAGTGGCAGAAACGAATTGTCCCAGACTTGGCAGAGGTACCACTAGCAAGACTGTAAAAATCCACCTGTAAAAATATAATTTGGAGGCTCAGCGCCACTTGTGATCAAACCACATTGGCTTCTTGTTTCGTTTTGCTTTTTTAGCAAAGTAAAATAGGGCATGTTTTATCCTTCGGAGCATACTTTGTCTCAGGAGGAGGATATGTGGCTAATCTTATGCCAAATAAGATGTCACGTAATGTTCGGTGCAAATGAGAAGCAATCTCACAATAAGATTTTTTGGAGGGAGGGTTATTTGAGTGTTAAATCACAATGTGCTGCTTTTTCTTATTGGAAGAAACCCTGCTGCTGGGTTTTTTAAAGCAAAGGGAGCCATCTCCCAGCCATAGTATGTCGTAATGAGCTGCACTCCTAATTCTATGTACAAGCACTACCGTTCTCTATCCATCTGATAGGCACATATTAAAGCCAGTGTTTGGGGATATAGGGGTGGTAGCTCCAAGCTGATGATTGCTTTGAGTGTCATTAACTTTCTCCCTCTGTCACACTAACCGGGTGAGGGGCCATTGGTTTCTTCTGTCTAAACTTATCCTAATTATTAGTCTCGTAAATCAGTGCACCATACAGCTGTCTTAAACTGGTCTTGGAGACCTTATCCTGATCGGTCCTGACAACTGTAAGCTACTGTTTCCTCACACTGTTTAACTCGGACCACATTTTGCAGCCTCTTCTGCCTCTACTCCCAAGGTCGGATTGGTATCCGTCTGGTTTAAATCTAATGTTTTGTGTTGTCTCGCTGACTGGCTTTGCTCTGGATACTAACTTTGATGATTTCCTTCCCTCCTCCCTTTCGTTTGCCTGTTTCCTTGATAAGTATTTTGGGGAGCAAATGGCTGCATATTGTTAACACCATTATCCATTCTCTCCCCCCCACCCCCTTTCTTTAAAACATTCATCAGTCAGAAGCTTTAAAGTTTTATTAGTACTATAAAAAACTCTTCACAAATGAAATTGCTTTTGATAAGTGTTCATTTTGACAATGAGAATTTGCTAAGGGCTGTTGCCAAGTTGAAGGAATTTGTGTTTTGAAACTGAAATTGGCAGGAAGTCGAGAGTCCAGGCACTTTCTTGCTTTCAGTCTGTCTGAATTTCTGTCTCTGGCCCAATAAAAATGTTTTATTTCAGCAACTGCTCAATTATTCAGAAGGAAAACATTGTTCAGATGCGCTTACTTTTTCTTCAACGTTTTCTTGTGTGTGTGTCAGTTTGAGCATATATGTTTGGATTTGTTTGTTTCAAATTGCTTCAGTAAAAGCAGAATGCATGTGTGCCCTTTGTGGGAGATTTTTTACTCCTGCAATTATCCTGTTCTTCCTTCAATGTTTCTGCTATAAGTTAATGGAAAGATGGAGAGAAGTCCATGTATGGGCAGGTTAGGAGAGTGTATACAACAAAATGCATAAATAAATACAAATAGTGATATTGCTAGTATTGACAAGAAAGTATACTGGAGGAAATATTCTCTTAATGTTGACATTTAAGTTTTCCCTTTTGGACACAACTCAGACCACAATCCTGTGCATGCTTACCTGGAAGTAAGTCCCATTGAACTAAATAGGACCACTTGCGAGAAGAAATACAGAGGATTGTGCTGTTAGCAGAGTATATATTAGATTCTTTCCAGTCATGTAATTGTATATCTTTCCCCACAAAATTAGTAATGATAGAAGTGGAATATTAAAGACATTGGGTCCATTAAAATCATAACACGCTGAATCAGTTTAATGGCTTTTCATTATTATTTAAAAGATGCTCAAGATTCAGAAAACTGCAATAAATGTACAGTAGAATGTGAAATTAAGAGTTCTTTTTACTTTTTATCCCCTCTCAACTCTAGGCAGAAGCAAGAACGACTAGTGTGAAAGCACTTGAAGAATTTGAGTTTGGTCGGACTGAGAAGTGTGTTAGGATCAATTCGGTATCCAGTGGTCTTGCTGAAGAAGATATAAAGGTCATTTTGCAATCCAAGGTTCTCCCTACAAGCCTGATGCTTCCAAAAACTGAAAGTGTCGAAGAAATAAGATGGGTGAGTAAATTGGGATTCGTCACTATCTCAGCATTAGATTAAGATCTTTGCTACTTTGTTTAGAAAGAGGAGACTTTGGGACTTGTGGATTTAGCTCATGAGGTAAGTAAGAAATATCTCTAGTCACAGTACTAGTTGAATTCATCCTTACCATCATCTGCTTATTAGTAAACATTAATTAATTAATTAATTAATCAATCAATCAATCAATCAAATCACTCCTAGAAGCAATTAATCAATTAATCCTAGAAGCCTCTTGCATATATTAAGCAAATTTGGCCCATATTTCAAAGATCAACCATTTCAGGATAAGAGGTGTAGATTGAAATTACATGCAGAACGTGTGTGAAACGTTTTAATTTTTAAGTAGAATTAACTGGCTAGCATACTGCTTTAATAAGCTGTGCTGCCATTAAGGCAAAGTAAAAATGTTTTAAAATCAGACCAGTTTTTTTCATTGTAGTAAAACCTCACTGACTGTCATGTAAACGTATAGCGTACATGCCCTGGAAGTTGGAAACCATAAGTAGATGGAGGAAACATTTTAGCAACATATGAAAAAATTATGGTGGAGACGAAAAGTAAAGGTCACTCCTTAGGGCAACCAGAAGAACAAACAGGAAGCTTTTAACTAGTGTTTTTAATTAGCACAGATATTATTTCCTGTCCAGTTCTCTATTTCTTCCTTTTTAATTGCTGACAGGTGTGCTTGCGTTTCATGACTGACTTTTCAGCCTATAAAAACCTGAAATGTAAATGGTTGGCATGTCACATTACTTAAGAAAACTTTGAAATGGGCCTAATTATGCTATAATTGTTCAAATTGTTAAGGAGGGATAAGTTTTATTTAGTGATACCATTATTTCTGAAAAATACCACTAAAGTCGTAAGGCTTATTTATCCTGTTTTCATAGTTTGGGAAACACTGAGTGGAGGGCGAGGGAGAGATCCATAGAAGGACTATAAAGAAAAACAAAACTAGACAAATCTGGTAGTTTCTATCCTAACTAGTTCCACATCTAACCCTAAACTTATCTTTTTAGCCTTTAAGGTGCCATAAGGCTCTTGGCTGTTTTTGCATACCCAAGACGTTATGGGTAACATTGAACTACCATCAACGGCTTTTAAATTCATTACATGTTCGTGGGGGACAGGAAACGCAACCTTTTTCAGAGGCTGGGAAAATTGAAGTCTAAAACATCCAAAAAGAATAGTTCTGTTTTCAGTAACGTTGTCTCCAGAGTGGAACGATCTTTTACTAAGGAAGATCCACAAGGCCTCTTTGTTGATTTTGTATAGCGGACTAACACTTCTGGAGTTTGGTGGTTATGAATATTCATCTTGCCATTCCAGCGAAGGCCTTTGGTGTTACCCAATATGTTTTACCTTGATGTGAGACTTCAGGCTTTCTTTCTAATTCATGCTAAGAGGAACATGTTCCTCCACGTTTCCTCATCTCTGATTTTTTAAATTTCCAACCGTTTTCCCTTCTGGAAATAAACCAGCGTCAACCTTTCGACACTTCCCCTACCTCTGTTAAAGTCTTCTGTCTAGGGAGACCGATCAAGTTCAGTGATATTTTTGGCTTTGTTTTAAGTGGCTAGTGAAATGGAAAGCTACCTCTTTTTTTTGCTGTTTATTTTTTCCCCTTCATTTTTATTTATGTGAAGCATAAAACCTGGAGGCTGATGCACAACTAAAAGATGGGCTTACTTGTTTTCTTTTGTGTGAGAATCTCCTGCTTCCCTTTTGTCCCTAGTATGGGTACTTGTTTGACTGGCATGGCTTATTGGACTATAACAAGCGTAACTCTCGCTCCTTTGTCATGGGACAATTCTCCCACAAATCCTGAACAGTGGGCATTCTTCCCCACACACTATCGGGTGTGCACTGGAATTGAAAGCATTGCTAAGGCCTGCTACTTCATCTCCTCCCAGACCTTTGTTTTTCCCCCCTCCCCCTTTTTTCCTCTACCCCATCTCACTGAAATGAACACTTTACCAGGCCGGAAACATTTAATCGTCTCCTTTTGAAAAAAATTAATTGAAACTTCTCAACTAGTTGCCTTTTGTATTTGGTGCTAAAAAAAACAATTAAAAAATTGGAGGAAATGGAGGAAAAACATTGCTTGATTAAAAACTCTCCCTTGCAAGTTGCAAAATAAAATGCATTAAAAAGAAAGATTTAAATAAACAAACAAACAGATGGGTGTGTTTTTTTAATTTTTCAATGGTTTAGCACACAAAAGGATTGCCAACTTAAAATTAACCATACCTGCTAAATTGTTTTGTTTTGTTTTAATTATCAAGGCCGGACAAAGGCATATGTTGGCTTTGTTTTATTATTATCGTGCTGTGATTTTGTGCACCTTTCCTTGGGAGTAAGCCCAGCTGAACACAATGGGGCTTACTGCCACGTAAACATGGGTAGGACCGGGCTGCAAGTGTCTTCCCCACCCCTCTTGCAATTCCTTTGCATTTCACGCCATACATTTGAATGGCAGGCTCTCTCTTAATTCCTTATATATATTCTGTTGCACACCAGCCTGTGGAAAGGTTTGACAGGCAACTGTGGCAGCAATGACGACACCACAGGCACGCACACACATACACACACACACACACAGTGAGGATTCACCCTCCAAAAAAACCCCCAGCATTGCAGCAAGGTATGATTTATTTTGGGCTTAATGTAAAGTTACTGCAAATTGGTTGGAAGCTTTTTAAAGATTTCGGTGATTAGATTTCCCTTTCTTTTGGGGAGGGGTGAAGTTGGAGGGGGAGCTAAAAGAGGAAATAACACCTCTAATCCAGCTTCTGGTAAATAGGCTGCCAGCTTTTAAAATGAGTTTCCTTTCTATTAGTCAGAATATTATGCTAAGCCTTAAGCATTAGTTTTTTATGTTGCCATAGCAGCCTTATTCCTGCAGGGTTGTGACCTGCGATGATTACAGTACAAAGCTTATAGGGTCTTGAAACCCCCTTTGAAGATGAAAAGTCTTTGATGGTTTATATTTATGCAAATCTCTTAGATATGATTTACCCAACTGAGACTGAATGGAGAGATGATTAAAATTCCCTTTTCCTTTGATATCCATTAATGGTTAAATATTCCTTAAATATAAAATTGATGCATTTCCCCCCCGTCTTTATTGACTAAAATTTCTTTAGCATACCTGTGATATGTTTATCTCCCAACACATTACTAGATCTAGACAGACATAATAGATTTACAATATACAGAGGTAGCTTTTCCTCCCCCTCCCTTCTCTTTTGAAAGGGAGAGAGAGAGGGAGAGGAAAAAAATCTGTACAAGAGCTTTTGTAATGTTTCCAGATGATAGATTTTGGAATTTGGGCTACCCCACCGGCAGCTCAGAGCTAGCTGTGAACTGGTCTCATGGAAAAAATTGGAGAGCTTTGGTCTTCAAAGAATTAAACTTCCTTTTTAAAGGCCCTTCCTAGGTAAGCTTAAAAAAAAAAAATTATGAAGAAAAGACCTCTGGAACAAAGGGTGACGGTGCCATAATGAATAATGTGAGTCCCAGTTTGGAAGGCTGGGGAACATTCACAGCCGTTGTCAGTGTCAGACATGAAACAAAACAGAATGTCAGGTATATCAATTCTACTTTGTTTTTAAGAGTCTGCTGATTTGCATTTAACTAAGTCAGGGTGATAGGTGTTAGGCAAATATTTTTGCAACTAAAACTTCACACTCCAAAATATACAGTAATGCGGGCATTCTAAAGAAGACAGGCCTAAAAGAACAGACCTCTTTGAAAGCTTGGCAGAGTTTTCTTTTTTATTTATTTCCCTCCCCTCTCAGCACCCCAGGCTTTGTTTTCTCTGTTTATTTGTATTTCACTTCAATGGAAAGTTTAGATAGTTGTACCATTTTATAGGTTTTATTTTTTTATAAAAACGAAACTGATCATTTCCCTCTGCGGTGCTTAGTTTACAGAGAAATTTGCACACCATTTAAAAGGCCGGGTACTTGTAGAACCTATGAATTTCCTCCCTTTTGTGGAAACAGCAATGGGCTTACTCAATTTTAAGGTAAGAAACATCAATATAATTTAGCTGGCATTTCTGCTTAAAGCCATATATCCATTGAATAAGTCACATAACTGGAAAAAGGTGGGTTAAAATGCCATAGCATTTGTTAATGCAAAAAATATTTGCTGAAATTCCAGTGCCACATAATACAGTCGCGTCCTACCTAATAGTTCTCTTCTGTCCTATTTTGGCATTTCTTTTTTATTTCCTTTAAATCCAATAAACGTGTGTGAAAAGATATAGCGGCTGTCAAATTTTTATTATTATTTCAGGAGTCTTATTCTAATATCTTAAAAGTGCCTCTTCTATGAAGTTCTGAGAACTGATAACATTTACAACCACACAAAGAGAGAGCCCTTTGCAGTCAATAGTAAAAAAATGTACCTTCTGTTTTCTACAGCCCAATACTGTATATGCACACAAAAATGGCATTAAGGAGTGTGGAGTTCTTCTTCATCTGCCCTCCAAAAATGTTATTTCTTGTCTCTTCCCCCATCTTTTGCAATGTGAACTTGATGTTGATCAAATACATGCAAATGGCCTCCTATTCTTGGCATCCAGCCTGTGTGTTTCTGTGGAGGAAAGATATTAACAATGATGAAATTGAAACTAGAGTGCGCCACAGCCGTGCCAAGGTGTCCTGGAAAAGTTTTGTGTTATTAGAAGGAGCTGCTGGGAGGCCCTTGTGGCTACCATGTTGATAGGCACCGCATTTTTAACAGCATGTTTGAAAGATAGTTTTCGGCTTAAATTTAAAGGATTTCTAATAATACATGTTCATATCTAGCCAAGATTTTACTTACTGGTTTGGGTTTTTTTACTGGTTTTTATTTTCAAATTCACACACAAAAAAAAGAAAAAGCGTTAGTAAAGTCAGCACCGAAAAATACCGGCTAGCATCCAATATCCTGGTGCAACAGGATTTGTATGAACCACAGTGTATAAAAATAGGTATATTTGCAACAGTAATCATAATAAAATAAACTGTAGCTCTGTGCTTTGGCGGGCAAATTCTAGCTAGCTATGAAGCATTTCAGTTTGCAACATTATGTTTTTTTTAAAAAGAACAATGATTACACAAAGATTAATGCATTTAGCAAATCCCAAGGTGTTGCTTTTCAAATTATTTTCTTTGCTACTTGTTGCACATTATATATCCTAGAATTATATTAGTTTCATTGTGTAGTTTTGCCATTGGTTAGGAGCCCCACCCTATGCTGCCCATTAAATAGCAATTAGAAGATTGCATCCGCCATGACAGTCCATCAGCAATGTATTAAACCAAAGATACTCCAGTCATTGTTCTATGCAGGTATTATTCATGGGGTGCAGGAAGGATTCTTAAGCTATATGCAGTGTCCACTTTCGTAAATATAACACACTGTTTACGGTTATCATTCAAAGGTTGTTGGCACATGACAAAGCTTTGTCCTAAATGCAAGGACAAAAATGTATATATGTATTCTGTGCTTTAAGATATACTGGATAGATCTGCATTCAAAGTATACTTTTTCTGCAGATGTGTAATTTGTTATTTCTCGCACATTATGCAAGAAGAGTCTTGACAGCAGCCCCTGTCCCCAAGGAATTAATGTAACTGACGATTAGTATCTTTCTGGTAGTGAAAATGATTTTAAACAGCCTGCTGCTTGTGTTTAACATTTTTGTTCCATTTAAAGGAAGTTTGCGAAGAAACTCTGAGGAAAGGACCCCAAATTGGCCTTCGTTTGGATGGAGTCGTCTTTGGAGGCGAGGATTTCCGTGCCAGCATAGGTGCTCCCATTCCCACCGCCCTTTAAATTAACAATACAGTATTATAATAACAGAACGGCCACAATACTAACAACAATAAAATATTCTGCCACAGACCTATACGTACTGTCTCATTTAGCCCACTAAAATCAGCGGGATTAAATACATCTAACTCTTTGCAGGATTGTGGCCATTATTTAAAAAAATGGAGTCTACTGCTCTGCCTTTACTAATTTAGCGGGTATACATTTATTTGTGTTGTCTCCTGGTACATCTTCCTAATTCGGTTGTCGTTTTTTGAAATCTAAAACCTATTACAGCTGTGCTTTTACAGAACCATATTCTGCTTATTGCTCTCCAACTAAAAAATTAAATGCAGTGACTGTTGAAATCATGAGACTAATTTAGTAATTTTGGTGCACAAAGAAGCCTATTGTTAATACTGTAGATAGTTTTAACAATCTCTTGCATGCTTGGTTCTGTTTTAGTGCATGCATCTTAATACTTCCTCCAGGAAAGCAACCACACCTCAGTGCCTTTCTGCCTTGTGATGTCACAATTTCTCCAAAAACAACGTCAATGTCAGAATCTCATTTCTGTATTACGTTGCTGTGACAGACATATCTGCTAAATATGCACCTTCTGATCTGGTTCATCTAATCACAACTTTCTGAGTGCAATTCACATAAAAGGAAGCAATATTTTAAATAATGAGGCATAACAAAGCCTTCATTTATTCCTGATAAGGTGGCAATCAAGGTCAAAAACAGTGATGCTCAAGACAAGAGAACAGATTATTATTTTTTCACACAAGTGTACATGTGAGAATAGATGCATTAGGAGGTATCAGATACTCTGAGTTCAGCAGATTTTGTGGATGCTTTTTTTAAAAAAATCTCAGAAGTCAATCATAGTTAACGGATGTTTCATCCAAGGATTTGAGCATGAACATTTATCTTAGGCTAAAATTTTAACTCAATGGACTTATTTCAAAGTAATGTGTGTAAGATCAAAATACTAGACTGAGACAGAAATCTTTTTTTAAAAACAAAACAAAACCTAAAGCTGTATTTCTACCACTTATTTCAGCCCCACTGAAATAATTGGGACTACTCTAGATTAAATGGTTGGAACGTCTCAGTGGCCATCAAATTGGTGCTTTTTGGTACAACACTTATAGATATCAGCAAATTGCTACAGATATGCAAAAGCAAATTAAAGGTGTTACTATTAGTATAGTAACCAAGTGGTTAACAGCTTGGGACCAATTTATCTGAAGGATTGTCTTACCCCTATATATGTCCACTCAACTCCTTCAATCTGCTGAATCAGTGCCGTGTAACGTTCGATCCACATGCTCAGTGATGGTTCGCTGTAGCAGCACCCATCCACTGGAACTCCCTGCCCATTGATATTAGACAAGTGCTTTTGCTGTCTTGTTTTTGAAACTTGCTAAAAGCTTCATTTAGGCAAGTCTATAAATTTGACATTTATTTTAATGTGTATTTTATTACGTATATTTTTATACTGCTGATTACATCTACACGTTAAGAATTTCTAGGTCAACTCCTCGGATTTTCTTAAATAAATATTTTATGCCCACTTAGAGGCTTTGCTGATTAAGCTGTATAGAAATAAGTGTTCCGTAAAATAAATTTAAAAACCTAATTCATATTTCCTATTAAAGAAAAGCACAATGGGGGGGGGGGAGTCTTTTGGCAAGATCCAGAAGGAAGAGCATCTTCAAATGCAATCTCCAACTCAACTCGCTTATTTGTGGCTCAGTTGGGCTCAACCATCTTTAGGTTCCCCAAACCAGCTCTGCTGAAGACATTCCTGTCCTGTGTGACTTGCTCAGCCAGCCAAGCCAAGGAATTCAGGCTGGATCCTAAGTCCATTCAGGTCAGTCATGTGCCTTGACAATCCAGCATAAAATACTACAGTATTTTAATGGTTTATTTTCCCTCTGCCTGGCTTTGGGAATGGGATTTGAATCTGGTGAAACTTTCTGCTACCTGAATTTGCACCAGCTTCTTGTGCATTGGATTGCTCCCTACCTAGAGCTTAATGCTCAGGCACCAAGGCTTGATTTTTAAAAAACGACCAACGTTTCATTTCAGAAACAGAAAGAAAAGGGTTTTTTTGGCAGAAGCAGCTTTAATATTTTGTCTCCAGCAACAAAATATCCTTGCAGCTGCTGTACAGAAATTTGGTGAACAAAGCTCTTCAATATTTTCCTGCCTGTCTTTCGGGAAAAGGACGACAAAGGTAACGTTAAGTAAATTTCTGCTGCGAATATTTTTTGAATACCAGTTTTCTCAACTGTCTGCTATTTCTTTTCAGGTTCAACAAGTAGTAAAGAAACCCACGATATTCTATATGCCAGGCAAAAAATTGTTGTCACAGCAAAGGCTTTTGGCTTGCAGGCCATTGACCTTGTATATATCGACTTTCATGATCAAGAGGGACTCCATAAGCAGTCAAGAGAGGGTGCCTTAATGGGTTTTACCGGTATGGCTTTTACAAAAATATATATACTCTGTGTGTGTGTGTGTGTGTGTGTGTGTGTGTGTGTGGTTTGCTTGCTTGTTTGTTTGTTTGTTTTATACTGAAATAACCAACAAATGAGAATCATAATAATTGCTAGCAGGTCCAAAATACTGAAATGCAGCAGAGACAACCAGCCCCACCCAACCAATATTCAAGAATATATTTATAGAGAGCTGCAGCATTCTCACTTCTCCATTTACGTTCTCAAATTTAAACTCGCACTAAAAGATGGGAGGAGGTGTGGTTTATACATATCTCCCCTTAAAGCATCCTGCTTTCACAAGAGAGCACCCACAGTCATCCCTTTCCCCCGCCCCCACACTACCCATAAAGATTTAAAAACAAGACTCCCTTCACCCTTGCTTTAAAATGTATTATCTCTTCTCCTTAATCATCAAACAGACGTGTTCTGCAGCACGGACCCCCTGTTCGTCTCCTTACGCTGACTGGTGGAGGAGCAGAGAAGTCCAAACGCTATAAAACGTTTTCACAATTACTTTTGCCTGTAAAACGGCAGGCGGAAAATTCCAAGTGCAAAACTAGGCCCTTAAAGAGTCTTTCAACAAGTCACACCCAAGTACGTTACTCTTTTTATGATTTAGGGAAAGTAAAGTATAAATGAAGGCTGCGGTATAAACACAGAACCCTCCTGCTCTCGCAGGTTAGAGGAAACACAATATCGGCTGAAAACCTTGCACACCACTCAGTTTCCAATTCATGTATGCCTGTGAGTGTACATTTATGCAAAAAATAAAATAATGCTGCCGTTGCATTTTGGGAATCACATTTTTTAAAAAGCGTTTTTAACAAATTTGAATAAAACCTCCTCTAAGTCTAACATCTGCTAATCACAGCTGTACATGCATTTCAATAAATGGTCAAAAATCCTCATAGTCCACATTTTTATTATGAAGTGCTGGAGCTTAAAACACACACACACACACACACACATCACAACAACAACCCGATATGCTAATTAGGCTATGATAGTTATTTTCTTGTCAGTCTTTCCTTTGAGTTGCTTTCCCCAATTCTGGCTTGCTTCCCAGTAATTGCCTGTTCACCTGATGGTACTGGCAAGGCAATGCGATCAGCAGGCTCCTTACAGCCAATCCCTGTAACACAGACATTTCGCCAATGATTGGTGCGCTAGATCATGCAGGCGCCCCTATGAGATGCGATACATAACAAAGATTGCAGCTTTATGATAGGAATCAGCTACTTGGCTTGCATACAAAGATTACAGCGTTCTTTAAAGAACAGCAGTACCAATGTTTCAGCGATACCTTTCAATCAGGATGGGTATGTGACACTTTTACAGATAGGCAGGTCTGTAAGACTGGGGAGCAGGGACCTCTCTGAAGCTCTTAATCTAGTAAGAAGTGCATTCTTAAAATAAAAAGTTCAAAATCCCTCTTGGTTTCTGGAGAAAATGCAACTTGAAGAACCATTTAAAGCACCAACCTAGCTATCAATAATGAACAAGGAGAAGGAGACTTGTGGCAACTTAATGGTGTTATCACATTTCAGCTTCTGTCCCTGAAAGCTTGTGCCATAATAAATATGTTAAGTTTTTAAAGTGCCACAAGACTCTTCCTTGTTTTTGCCGCCAGAGAGAGCTGCTTGCCAGAAATATTATCAAGAACAACAGGCTAATACTCTTCCATTCCAAATACTACAAGAATTACTTGGGGTACTTTCCAGACACAACGCATGCATCAAAGTGCCTACTGTTTCCTTTACCCAACCAACCAACTTTCAAGGCTTTGTCACCCTCCTGTTTCAATGGCTGAAATCCAAAACAGTACACATGCACAAAAGCTAATTTGCTCTCAACGGTCTGCAGATTAGAATACCACTTGAAGACTCCCTCCAAAAGTTGGAGGCCCTTTGGACCATACCAACACAGAAAGCTGTCTTCTATCAGGCCAGAGTGTTGGTTCATCTAGACCAGTATGGACTGTGTACTAAGAGGCAACAGCTCTTCTGGGTCTTTGCCATCACCTATTTGTTTGTTTTTAACTGGAGATACCAGGGGTTGAAGCTGGAACCTTCAGGAACTGACTGAGCTATGGTTCCTTCCCATGAGACAAGGAAATGCTACTGAAAGCTTTTTTAAAATTATTCATCATCTCCTCTTTTGAGCACAGAAATGCTTTGTATGTTTGCACAGGCCCCTTTAGAGCCTGAATACTGAAAATGTAGTAATAGGTCACTCGGCCCATCACCTGCTCTTGATGAACCAAGTGTAGACAAGCCCAAACTCTTTTATTCCAGACTAAGTAAAGTGTATCCTGGTTATGTTTCTCAAATTCACTAACATCACTATTCCACATGATTTGGAGTGAACACAATAAATTATGATAACTTTCTACTTGTGAAAATGAAGCAGGCAATCTGTCTCCAAAGTTCACAGTTTTGGAGGTATGTAGCTGCCTATATAAAATCAAGATCACTAGACCCAGGTTAAGTGCAGAAAGTGAATTTTAGTTAACCTCGTGCTCACACAATCAAAGCAATTTAAAATGTGATAAAAGGCTGGATTCCCCTACCCCAGCAGCCTTCCACTTAATGTTTTGGGGAGCATATAATCCTTTATGTAATACATTTTTATTCTAGAATAATTAATATGGCGCATTGCAAATTCAGCACCATTTTGAAGGATGGTGTTTTTGAAGGATTTTGAAAGGAACAAATTCTCCCTTTTCACCTCCCTCAAATCATCTTGACTAAAGTGTGTTAAGCCATAACCAATCTGCATAAACGCTCTTGTAAATGCCCTGTCCCAAAGTCATAAATTTAAATTTTCTACTATGAACATATTGGCATTTTCATCTGTTGGAATTAAAAATAGCTTATGTTGCTAAAAGGCATGATGAATACTTTCTGTTGAAGTTACTAGGATTTCTATGTGATAAGCATTGCTCCACGTAGCAGCTGCTATCATGTGAGGAGCTGTTCCAGTGTGGATTAAATGCATTTCACTATGCCACTGCAAACTTTTCTTTACCCTCATTTGCCGTGGCATGGAAAAACTAGCACCATCTGTGGGGTAAACCGCTTTACACAAATGGCTCATCATATGATAACAGCCACCACCTACAGTGATTTGAAGTGGAGTCCATGTGGCAGCTGCTCTGAGAGATCTGCTTATAGGGCAAGATAGATTTTTTTTATAATAAAAAAAATAAACCAGTAAATAAATGTTGACAAGCAAGATATCTAAAGCAAAAACAGATGAGTGGTGTTGTTGCTATTTACTCAGTGAATCCCCATTCATCCCAGTGGCTCCTGTGTATGAATTAAGGGCACAGAAGATCATTAAATTGTGCCCTTAGCTGTTATCTGTGGGATATTCGCAGGCAAATACACATGGGTCTCGAGAGGATTAAATATAATTAATATAAAATATCCTCCTACCAATCCCTATCATTATCAATGTTTTTGTCATGCAGAACTGAATGAGCAAAGCATTTCATAAATGTTCATCTGTCTAATGCAAGATGGCAGGGATAGTGTTTGTCCAAAACGTTGCTGGACATCAACCCCAGCTGGCATGGCCAACGTTCAGGAGTTTTTGAACTTGTGGTCCTAAACATCTGGAAGGCCTGAGTTTGGGGAAGGTTAATGTAAAGATTCTCCTGTACAGTCATACCTCGGGTTACAGCCGCTTCAGGTTGCGTTTTATCGGGTTGCGGACTGCCGAAACCCAGAAGTACCGGAACAGATTACTTCCAGGTTTCAGCGGTCGCGCATGCGTAGAAGCACTCAATCGCTCTTTGCGCATGCGCAGAAGCGTCGAATCGCAACCCATGCATGCGCAGACACAGGTTGCGAATGCTGCGGGTTGTGAACGTGCATCCCGCATGGATCATGTTCGCAACCCGAGCGTCCACTGTAATGTAATAATCAGATTAGCCATTTGAAAACCCGCCCCTAAGAGTTATCTTACCTCTAGCAGTTCAGGATAATTAGCAAACCAGCCATCCCTAAATCAAAATTTAAAACGTACTCGCAAAGGAGAACTCTTTAGCATAAACCTCCTCTACCTGCTCTCTCTTGTTTGGTTATGTTCATAGCTTTTAAATATGGCTTTAATCCTATGCAGAGTTAGGCCTCTCTGACTCTAGGATTAAGCTAAATGTTAGTTAGCTGTATTAGTCAATGTTATATCCAGACAGGTGCAGAGTTGTTGCCAGAGTGCTCACTGCTTCCCATGCCCTCCGGTAATGTGTGGATGACAATTATATTTGTGTAGGAAAGAACTTAATTATTGGCCCTACAACCACATCACAGCATTGGGAAAAGCCACAGAATTATGGCTCCAACACCTCATTGAAGAAATATATGAATTTGTCTCCCAGGTTTTCATGCCAAAGGATATAGAAATGTGTTTTCCAAACGTTACAAGCAAAACATTCAACAGTGCCTAAATTCAATCTCTCACAATGTTTAGTCCACACAACAACAGTTCAAAAGGAATCACTTCTCAAAAGTCAGAAGTGCCTTAGTAAAATATTTACAATAGGACTATGGTAGACTTCATGCGACGTGACCATGAAGTTTCATTTGGCATTCCCTAAACGATAAACAATGCATTTCTTGTATATGGAGCAATCCTATGCACAAGAAGCTGGCCTAAAGCAAGCCGGTCTAAGTTAAGCCAGTGTAAATTTATACCAGATCCAAAACCTGTTCAACAGTGGGGCTGCTGCAGCTCTGCCTGATCCAGGGGGGAAACAAGCCTTTAAAATAGTGCTATATACCAGGCCATGTGACGAAGCTGAACAGCTTTAAAGGTAAAGGTAAAGGGACCCCTGACCATTAGGTCCAGTCGTGGCCGACTCTGGGGTTGCGGCGCTCATCTCGCTTTATTGGCCGAGGGAGCCGGCATACAGCTTCCGGGTCATGTGGCCAGCATGACTAAGCTGCTTCTGGCGGACCAGAGCAGCGCACGGAAACGCCGTTTACCTTCCCACCAGAGCGGTACCTATTTATCTACTTGCACTTTGACGTGCTTTCGAACTGCTGGGTTGGCAGGAGCAGGGACCGAGCAACAGGAGCTCACCCCGTGGCAGGGATTCGAACCGCTGACCTTTTGACCGGCAAGTCCTAGGCTCTGTGGTTTAACCCACAGCGCCACCCGCGTCCAGCCTTAGGCAGGGGCAAAACTAGGTTTTATTTCACTTTATTTCAAATATCCAGTTTGGCACACACACCCCTGTGCATTTGCATACACACACACACACACACACACACACACACACACAGGCTGGGAGCCTCAGTGGCACCCCTCTGGAGGCTTAACCCAGGGCAAAAACACCTGGCTAGCCCCCCCTCCCAATAGCTACAGCTCTGCCTTAGGATCCAACCAGTGGACACCCCTGAAACACTCTTTTTGGGGGGACTTACAGCAGTCTTAGCCAAGCTTCATCTGAGCTGGGATAAGCTTGCTACTCCAGCATCCTTGCCCAGCTGAGTCAGAGGTCCGCTGCATCCTAAGCTACTCAACCCAGCCGATCTTGCCATAGGATTGCACCCATGTTTTCAGCCATCATTTTGAAGAGCAGTCATTGTTTTTAAAGGGTCTTGTTTCCTGGCAGTTTACCACTTACGAGTCTGCGTAACCCACGAGTTTTATTTCGGGATGCTCTCTGTATAAATGTCTTATCGGCTGTAATCATGTTTACATACATAAAAATTGTAAACCCTGGAATGACACTTTAACAGCTGACTTAGTCATTATAGCTACTCCATTGCAACATGCTGGGAAGCTAGATATAAATATGAAACACTATAGGGTTCTCCCCCTTTTTTTTACAATCTTTTGTAGAAGACAAAAAATGACACCATCATAGAATTACATAAAAGACTTGACAGGTATTGATTTAAAGCATGATATATCAAATGGTACTGCAAAAAGGATTTCATGGCCATAAATTTTAATGCCTTCCCACTCTGCAATCTCTCTCTAACTTGTCAATAACAACTGTTTGGTTTATAATATTTCCCTTGTTTCTCCATGACACTAACGTCCATTATACACTTGTTTGGGTACACAAGGTGTAACAAAAGGCAACCGAGGCCATAAATCAAATGGCGTTTTATTTTTTTTACTGAGGTCACACATTTAAACAGGTTAAAGCCCTTACATTATATACCATCACTGCAATATACCTTTTTAAAAAAACTAATTGACCAGTATTTCAGGCCTTCTTTCTCACAGTGCTGAACTTTGTCTTTAAATGTATATTTTCTATATTTTGTAATGAACTACTTATACGAAATTCGGTTTCTAAATTTACATTTTGTCTATTACAAGTAAAGCAGAATAAAAACTAAAAACTATGGTATATTCACCATAGTCGTAATTTGAAATTTCTCTCAATTTTAGAAAATGACACTTCTTTCTGCAGATAGAACAGATTATTGAATTACATTAATTTATTCAATGTAAATTGTTTTTTAAAATTAGGATTTTTAAAGATGTGAAACTTATGAGAGCATCTCAAGTGCACGTTATGAATATTCAGTTTGCGAAAAGTGAAAATGTAATTAAAAATGAAATATGATGAAGCATCTTGTGGTATAACTTTCTAAACTATGTGCTGCAGCTACAAAAAGTACCTTATTTGCATAGAATTGATTTCAGTTTTATTTTTATTAGCAAGAATAAAACTGGAAAACATCAAAATTCATTGAACAACAAATCGTAGAAATGAAGGCACACATTCTTGCAGTTCTTTTTCTTTACTTTCTTATTCATAGTAATTTCCAGTTTTCATTTGAGCTTCTAATTTTGTGTTGCTTAAATGTGGCTCTCCCTGAGCTGCAAAATTTTTAAATGAATTAGCAGATTATGACTTTTTGCTAATTGCTTCCCTGGTTTTGTACCAGCTGAAAATGAGCACATTTCAAAACAGTTTTGGGACTTGCACATTAATGTAAAGTACTTCTGCAAAACACACACAACTCATTTATAGCAACTGGAAATTTCTGAAATATTGTTTGCGCCCAAAAATAAGAGTTTGAGTTTAATGCTCAATATAATGAGCCATGTCGTTATATAATTTTTAATGAGAGCAAATCTATTGACAGTTCTTTGTAAAACCTTTCTAAGAGTCTATTGAAAAAGATTCAGGTGTGGGTGTAAGAATCCATTTTAATGCAACCAAATAAAATATTAGGATACTCATAATATGCAAACATGTATGCAGAAAAGAAAGCTCAACCTGAGTTCTGATTTTGTTGCTATTTTTCTTATTTTGATTTTTTTTTTGAAGCCAAGTCCCTTTCACATGAAGAGGTGTAGCATTTTTAAAAAAGTTACTGTATGATTTCCCCTCTACAATTATTCACTGTTAGAAGAATAAAAATGTTGTAAGGATCTACAGGAATTCCATTTATTAAAGAAATCTATATTTTTCTCATTGAACATCAAATCGTATTACTTGTAATGGGTACTGTCTGTTAAGGCTTTCTTAAACTTCAGCACAGCATAGACCGGTTTAATGTAGTTCTGAAAGATTTTTGTTTCTTCTTTTTAGCCTCACTTCCACAAGAAAAGCATTATAGTAGCACAGTACTTATTACTTAGTTTAAAAGATAAACACATGGCGAGGAGAGCACAGAATATCTTCGAGAAACTAATAAAATTGTCAAATGAAAAATTCAAATAAATGTGGATTCCTTTTGATTTAATTTTATTTAACTTTTCTGAGCCAGTAGGATGGGACTGGAATGGGGGTCACATTTTAAAAGACACAAGCCCACAGGGAAACTTCCTCTGTGCAAACCCCACTGGGTGACATGCAACTTCATACAAAAAGACTTCTATTTGATCTCACCACCTTGTTCGTCCAGACCTGTTCTAGAGGATCCATTAGATTTTAGGCAAGGGCAGGGGTTTCACAAGGAATCTGTTCCATCACCGATGTCAATTTCACTGGTGGGCAACAAAGTTGGATTTCACTCACTGGTGATAGCCAAATTCTTGAGCACCTCCCATTCATTTCAATGGGGCTTATGAAGGAGAACTTTTTGGTGGATTATAGCCCATATTTGTAAAGGCGAATTTGACTTGCAGATGGGGCAATCTATAAATTTAATAAATAATAAGTTGGTGCAGAATGTTACTAAAACGTAAATCCTAACACGAGGACAATTTAGGCTGCAATCCTGTAAACATGAAGCTGGGAATATGCCCCACTGGGAATAATGGAACTTAGTCATGTATTAAGATTACACTGTTAGAGAATAATTATTTGGAAATAGAAAAACGTGCAAACCGCATAAAAGCTTTATGCTTTGGTGATAGATCTTATTTCCATCATTTCCCTTTTTAACAGGAATAAGGATCTTCTAAAGTCTGGCTATATCTTTTATACTATGTTTGAATAGCTGGCAGGGAGAGAAAAAACCCTGAAATGCTAGTCAAATCTATTTAAAAAAAACACACCCTGAAATGCTAGTCACATCTATTTAAAAAAAACACAGAGTTGTTATGTCTATTTTTAGCTCATTTAGGGTAAGGAGAAGCATAATTTAACAATGAATGGTTTTTTGTTTTTTTAAAAAAGAACCATCGAAAAATGAGAGTCGGTGCAGTATTTGAAAGCCTCAAGTGATTGGAACATTTTGCTAGAGCATCTGTTAGTAAATGCTTAACTCTGGGGTTATTAATCTTCTTTGTAGGTAAGCAGGTGATTCACCCTAATCAAGTTGCCGTTGTCCAGGAACAGTTCTCACCAAGCCCTGAAAAAATTATGTGGGCAGAAGAACTTATCACAGCATTTGAAGAGCATCAGCGCATAGGGAAGGTAAACCCCTTTTTTCATACTATGTTTCCTTTATATATAATGTTTCAAATGGAAGAAAATTTAAAAGTGTTTTCAAGTTATCATAAAGGGTACATTACATAACATGTATTATATAGAATATACACTAGCATATATTTACTCAAAAAAATAAGTAACTTGCATTTTGTTGAGAGAAAAGCCGTTTTATATCAAAACCTATGACTTGTTCATTTTAAATGGCAGTTTCAGTCATGTGCCCTGAGTTTTGCTTCTTGTCTTTCGTACTTTAAATGATACACCTTAAATTCAGATGCATTCTAAGAACATGTCTTTTTCTCCGTGATTTCCCTGATGCATAAGATTTGTTGGAATTAGCTGGGTTCTTGTTTTCATTTGTTTCCAATGCTTTTTATACTACTGTTCAGTATAACAGTCGTATTGTGTTGCATTTTTGTTTTAGTGGTTTTGTTTTTTGTTTTTATCTTGTATACCACTTAAGAGATTCTTTTAAAAAATATTAAGCGGTTTATAAATGCTTTTAAGTAAATAAACAATGTAGATAGTGCACCTAGGGATCTAGTTAGTTTAATCAACTCAAATAATACTATATCTGACTAAGATCTTTTATAAAGGGAAAAAAAGGAAGAAAAAACCCCCACTAATTCTGTGCCGCTGTATTATTTATTAATTCTTCAGACGGATTTCATTTCCATCTAACTTCAAGAAAACAATCATGTTTGGGTTTTCTTTGTCTTCTTCACACCCAACTCCTAAATAGGAGAGACCAATTATTGTTTTTCACACTTTGAGAAACTTCTGGGTGTAAAGCTCATTTGTGAGTCAAGTTTTCCATGCTATGAGACTCCTTACAGAATTGGACATCAGCTGATTTCAAAGTACAGGTGGAAATTTTGAGTTATTATTTTTCAGAACTTATTTTTGGACTGGAGGGGTTTTTTGGATAGAAAAGAAAGCAAATTACTTCTTGAATATGATTGTTCCTAATTTAGTGCATCATTGAGTCTCCTGTTTCCTGCTCTGTGGGTTTCTGCTATGTAAACATTGCGGTGGTGAAGCACAATCTGTCTTCACTTTGTGCCAGTAACACTTAAATTAGGGGTCGCCTGAAGGAAAATTTTATGCTCGTTGCAGCATTGTCGGCTAATTATCTTAAAGGTTATTTGCTATAATGTAGTTTGCCACTTTGGGGGGGGAGGGGCAGGGGAAAGTTGCAATTAAATGTGATTCTTCTAGCAAGAGCCAAAATCTGAAATGGTTATCAAGCCAGCGAAGTTTCAGTGTCCAGAAGTGCAGCAGAGAACGTGTGATTCTTTCTGTGCAATTTACACAATATTTAATTGCCAAGGAAACATCTTTAGCAAATCTGAACGCGCACAAGAGATATTTGTGTGTGTATATGCATATACACTTCTTCCTAACCCTTACAAATCCCACTAGATTGCATTGTGAAAATATATGGCGATAGTTTCACATGTTTCTATCCTGCTAGTGCGTGCCAAATGACCCATTCCCGCAATATGAAATCCACCATATTTCCATTTTATCATCAAACCTACTCCTTCAGATAAACTGATTGCCATATACCCATGAGGAAGCTTCCCTTCTGTCTTAAGCCATAGTTTATCACATAACTATAACTCTAATGTCAAACCCAGATGCTATATTAAGGTTTATAGAAATATCAATTTGCATATCTTTTGTTTTGATCACCTTATTTCATATGTTTAAAGCCTCTAATGCGTGAAACATTTTTTATAAAATATATATGCTAACAGCTTTTTGATTTTATTTTTTTGCATTTTCTCTGTACACCTGTTAGCAGCCATCTCTCTATACCCATCTGTGTGTGTACAGTGCTAATAGGGTGTACATATGGCAGCTAACATTTTCCAGGGACTTATGAAGACTACACAGAAAGACAATGTGGGGAGTGATCAAAGGGGCAAAATATTTATATTTATTGCTTTTGCACTGGGGAGCCATGTACATTTTCCATATGAAAAGCCTTGCTGGGCTATCATTTTATACCACTACACACCTGACATAGAAGAAACTTGCATTGTTTTTCCTAAGTTCTTCCAAAGACTTTTGTACTCACCACCCTAATTGCTTCTTAGATGCAGCAACTGATTTGCAACGATCTTAGAATCAATTGAGGAATGTGGCCCGCAGTTAGGGTAGACTGATAGTTCAGAAACACTTTTGCAATGCACACAACCCTGTTTAGCCTGCTGACAATTGGATGAAATTTGTGGAAATACGCAAGTTCTTTGCCACCCCACCTTTAACTCCCAGTATTTATAAATATGACACTGGCCATTCACTGTAGGATTAAATTTTGACCTCATCAAAGCGAGCGAGAGCTCTGCCATTGACTTCAGCAAAGAACTGTCCTCACCCAGTGACGAGATACAGGATGCTGTTTGATCAACATTTCCTTAAAACTTATCAGTGTGTGTATATTGAAAAACCTGACACTTAAGAAGAGATCTGGTTATGTATGATTGCTTAATTTTCCAAAAGAACTACTTCTCACAACAGGAGACTTGTGTGGCATGTCCAAAGAAGGCATTAAAATTTTCGTCATGATTTGAGCCTCCTGGTCCTGAAAGGTTCTAGTTATGTATTGCTAATATATTACTTTCTTTTCCTTACAAGAAAACCAATGCATAGATACCACATTGCCAGCAATTCTGCAGTCTCCACCTTATTCCTTCCTGTTCCTTTCACGAAACCAAATCTTTAATTTCAGCAAAGCTAAAATACTATTCTGGCTTGACACTGTTAAGCTTTCCATGGTGTGTCTGTGTGTTATTAATCAAAACTGAAAGCCTGGAAAAGAAAACCTGAAATGCAAAGGATTAGAGTGACTAGTTTGCTCACAGATAAATTGCTGGTCTTGAGCCTCTGGGATCACAGTTTGTTGTTAATTGGAAGTTCTTAGTGAACAAAGTTCGATGCCCTCAGTCAACAATAGTTTATATTAACACACAGCAATCGGGTAACACAATTTATCAGAGTTTGGAAAGTACAGAGCAGCCGTTGTTGAAAGAATCCAAGCTACCCTCCAGCCTCTTAAGTGACTGAAAGATTTGGCGTAGTAAGAAGTACTAACGGAAATCAGAAAGAAATGGAGTAAAAAATAAATGGCTATTACAGTAACAGAAGACGACTTACATTATGTTCAGGTAGCAACTTCAGATTTGATGTAAATGGGATAAAAAAAATTGTTTTTGTTTCTTTGAATGTTGGAAAAATTCAACCCATCATTCAGCCAAACCAGTCAGTTACTTTTAACAAAATATTGAAATGTTTATACACTAATGTATCACTTATGTCTGTGTTTCATTTATAGCTCATATATTTCATTATACCCCATATTCACATAGCTTCCCCCCCATATTGACAGAGATCAATAAGCAAACACTATATTTCACCTGTATTATAGTACTAATTTTGCTTAGTTCTCCCTTTTCCTTTTTTTTTTAAAGCTCATAAAAACATCACAGTACAAATTCTGTTAAGCTGTAAGCAATACAGTGATAAATATATTCAGAGGTAATATTACTAAGCATTTTAAAGAATTTTATTTGTAATAATTTGTACTGCCTTTCACTATGATAGGAATGCACAACAGAAGTGCAAGAATAATTTTTTAATTAGAAAAGAATACGCAATTATGCTTTTTTAAAAAATAAAATAAAATATTGTGTTATTTATGCATGTTCTATTCTGTTTTCATCTTTAATAACCTTTATAACTACACAGACTCACACCCGTTACCTTTTGAAATAAAGTTTTAAAATCTATTTTTGAATCAATTGTCACTCATTTTCAACAGAGAACAGTAATGCGCTCGGGTTGACCAAAAGTTATCATTTGCTAGTCCAGCTAAGAAGGTTTTCATGCAGAAACAGGTTTATATTTTGGGAGCCCTAGACGTAAATCGGAGGAACAGTCACATTTATTTATTTTTATTTCATAAAATTTACCAAAGCTGTTTACAAAGAGAGGGTGGGCATTCTGATGTTAATCTGAATTTGTACTCCCTTACCTGCATAATATACTAGCAAACTTATTTACACCTGACTAGGGATGGATCAGGACCATTATTCTGAGGAAGAAAGTCTTAGATATGAATGCAGACCAGGATCCTAAGACCATAGCTGTCAACTGCGAGGAATCCTATTCGGAATAAGGGAATTTCCCTTTAAAAAAAGGGAAACGTTGACAGTTGTGCCTAAGACTCTAACAATCTAAAGTGAAAGTTGGAAAATACATGGTGACAGAAAAAGTTTAGAAGCAAGGTAGTGTAACTACCATTTGACAAGTAGATTCTGCTCACTTAAACCAAAGTACCTCCAGTAAAATAAAAACCTACAATGGAAATATGTAGGTAACTTTATGACAAATGGTACCACGTCAGTCAAGTAACACACATTTGTTCCTACAGTGAGCCGGACACCAGGAGATATGGGGCAAGTTCTTGAATACCTGGCCAAGTAAGATTTTGTGTGATCACTAAGTGAGGTTTCAGTGCTCCACACAGATCCTTGTCCTTCCCCAAGATTAAAGTTCTCAAACTAAATTATGTAACTGAGTAAAAACAACAGAATACATTATGCAAAATAATGCAGTAAATGAACTTAATCTGTATAATATATATTGGTTACAGAATCCATCCATTTTAGCTCAAAAACTTGCTTTTTGTTTGGGGTGCACACAGCCTTGGGGCAACTCAGCCACAGAGAAACTGGGTAGCAATGGGCAACAAGCAATCTTATAATCTTAGTTTCCCATCTGTAAAATGGAAATAATTGCCACACTGGTGAGCTATGAAAATTATAAATAAGGGAAATAATAATTATGAACCACTCTGATCCGTACGGATGGAGTTGGTTCTACGTCTTCACAAATAAAATAATACAAACGGGAGCCACTGTGGTGTGGGAAGATATATAAAGGATAATCACGTTATCAGCTGCTAGTTAGAGGGTTGTGCCATACTTCTGGGGGTACATGGAAAGCCAGCCCCACTACTGCTTTCTGTTAAAGCTGGGAGAGACAATTGAATACTGAATCCTGTTACCACTTGTGGAGTCATACCCTGACTTGCCAGTTTATCATACCTTTCTGCCTTCTTCAGCATGTTCTACATTACCTCTTCTTGACAGAAGACGAGAAAGTAGTTTTTACACAAACACATCCAAAGTGAAAGGTGTTTCACACCCGTATCTCCTGGATACGGGTCCAACAATTATATTCATTCATGCAGCTTAACCCTGAGTACCAGTTCAGATGATACAGTAAGCCAAACCTTGGCTTAGCTCAGGACAGCAAAAAGGACCAGGTAGGAGCAAAGGGACATGGGTGGTGCTGTGGGTTAAACCACAGAACCACTAGGACTTGCCGATCAGAAGGTCGGCGGTTCAAATCCCCGCGACGGGGTGAGCTCCCGTTGCTCGGTCCCTGCTCCTGCCAACCTAGCAGTTCGAAAGCACGTCAAAGTGCAAGTAGATAACTAGGTACCGCTCCGGCGGGAAGGTAAACGGCATTCCTGTGCGCTGCTCTGGTTCGCCAGAAGTGGCTTAGTCATGCTGGCCACATGGCCCAGAAGCTGTACGCTGGCTCCCTCAGCCAATAAAGCAAGATGAGCGCCGCAACCCCACAGTCGGCCATGACTGAACCTAATGGTCAGGGGTCCATTTACATTTTTATAGGAGCAAAGTGTTTGCAAGCTTCTCTTCAATGCGGTCTATCCAAGTCAAGGTTCGTTTGCCTTAGCATACTGTGTGAAACTGGCTGCAGTAGCCAGTGTCTTTCCACATAAGATGGAATAGGGCAGAGAGGGGGAAATACTAGGCTTCAGAGGCTCACAGAAGAATGAAGGGAACTGGTGTGGTGGTGGTGGGACTGAACAAGCCACAATACAACCTTTGCTTGAAACCAACAACCACTTCCATCATACCTGGATGGCTGAATCCAAAATACATGGTTTTCATTGTATTTGGAAAACCTTGTTTCTAAGCTAAAACCATTCCCAGGGTACCAGGGTATCTACTCTTAAATCCCAGGATGGCCACTGCTCTCCTTATCTCATAATGGACCAGCCACTACTTTCTGAGAAACACTGATCAACAAAGAGAAACACACCCAGGAAACTGAAACCACAATCTGCTTGGTGCCCTATTCTGTACAGTAGGGTAATGGGTTAACTGGCCTCAGGTAGCAAAGATTACCATGTGAAACTGCTTTATGCCAGTGAACCCATTGATCCATCTATGCCAGCATTTCTGGCAACAGTCCTCCAAGTTCTCAGCATTTCATAGCCCTGGCTATCTGGCCATTTTAATAGCAATTTAACCCAAGACCTTCTGCATGCAAACTCACTGAGTCTAAATATGGGGGAACCATGCAAAATGTATTTACCCTGATATTGTTTCCCTCTATCCCTCCCTTGCCTCCAAACCTGGATCCCTGTAGAACTGGAGAAATATCAAGGGTGTGGGGGTGGAAATGTGTATTTCACACTCTGCTCATGGTGGCAGGCTGAGCTGCTGAGCATGATAGGATATAGATTTGGCTTGCAGCAAGAGCGCTGGAAAAGCATACCTTCCAAACCTTAAATATCTGGTGTGTTTTCCCCCCCAGTGCTCACAGGTACAATGGTGCTCAGCTGCCTTCTTTCTTTCTTCCTCCAATGGAGGGTGTAACAAAAGAACTAATGTTCTGGCCAGATGGCCTTCTTCGGGGCATACTGAGAGCACTCAAAGGAAAGCAATACAGCCTAAATATCATTTCAGCTAATTTAAGTGGCAGCAATCCTGCGTTGTTTTTTTCATTTCACTGTATTTGGCATGGGTTTCGCTAGAATTAAGCGCCCGCGCCTACCACAAAGCTTTATCGGCCGAAAATTGCAACGTTTTGTTCACATTCGGTTTTGTGGTTTGGAAGATGACTCTGAAGCTAGAGGAGACTCAGAATGGCTTACAAAGACATTTGTCCTGCCTGTCACTACTTTAGCCTTATTTCCTTGAACCCCGTCCGTATCTCAGCCCCCCTGGAATAACACTGCCAATAGTTTAAATTTTGGGGACTGGGATCCTTAAGATGTATACCTATTTCCTATATATTTATACCACCTTGAGAAGATAAAAACCATCTCAATGAGGTTTACAAAATAAAACAGTAGCTGAGATCCAGAAGTATTCATGAGAGGCAGTGTTACTGCAGGACAGGGTTAGAACAAAACCATTGGCGATCTGCATTGAGCTCGAATTTGTGGCGTAGTGGTTAAGAGCGATAGACTCGTAATCTGGTGAACCGGGTTCGATTCCCTGCTCCTCCTCATGCAGCTGCTGGGTGACCTTGGGCTAGTCACACTTCTTTGAAGTCTCTCAGCCTCACTCACCTCACAGAGTGTTTGTTGTGGGGGAGGAAGGGAAAGGAGAATGTTAGCCGCTTTGAGACTCCTTCGGGTAGTGATAAAGCGGGATATCAAATCCAAACTCTTCTTCTCAACTGCTAACTTCCTACCCGTTACATTCATAATTTAGATGCACACATGTGAATAAAAACAATCCAGTTATGAGAAACTAATAATGATGTTCAGATTCTGTGCATTGCCTATACTGGCACCTCTTCAGAAAGAGCATGCCCCATATGCTTTCATTGGGTCTCTGGCCTGGATTAGGGATGGGGGTGCTGAACCCCTCTGGGTGGCCTCCCTTGTCCCTGGCCATTGGCCATGCTGGCTGGAGCTGATGCCCAATAACGACTGAAGGACCAGTTCCCCCACCTAAAGCCAGTTGGCTTTAAGGTAGGATTATGTAAATAAGCAATAATGTTTAGAATCTCAACCTTCAAAACCTTGAGTCATTCACAGATCAATTTCTTTTAAACCGAAGTTCAGGGTGGAGTTCCTAGAAGCAGTTTAATCACTTATAGGAGATCCCTAATAAACACAAATTACAATCCATGTGGGACGCGGGTGGCGCTGTGGGTAAAACCTCAGCGCCTAGGACTTGCCGATCACATGGTCGGCGGTTCAAATCCCCGCGGCGGGGTGCGCTCCCATCGTTCGGTCCCAGCGCCTGCCAACCTAGCAGTTCGAAAGCACCCCCGGGTGCAAATAGATAAATAGGGACCGCTTACCAGCGGGAAGGTAAACGGCGTTCCGTGTGCTGAGCTGGCTCGCCAGATGCAGCTTATCACGCTGGCCACGTGACCCGGAAGTGTCTGTGGACAGCGCTGGCTCCCGGCCTATAGGGTGAGATGAGCACACAACCCTAGAGTCTGGCAAGACTGGCCCGTACGGGCAGGGGTACCTTTACCTTTACCTTTTACCATCCCTGTATTTTGCTAATTTCTCTTATGGAATTTGTAGAAACTCCCTGAGTTCAGTTCCTAGAAGCATTATTTCCACCTAATTCCCTTCTCCATGCTAACCTTTTTGCCCTGAAATCTGTATCATGTACCACCATTGTTACTCCTCTTATGCCAATGTAAAAATAAAAAATCTTTTTGATTTTGTACAATACTGATCCCTTTATCGAAATCTGGCTTTTTGTAGGAACCTTTTCCCCATTCAATGTGTCCCAAATGTAGTCTTGGTTCAGCCATGATCAGCGGCATCTGAATAGAACCCTTTGGGCAGCCTGCGGTTACGATTAAATACATTTGTGCTTAGAACCCAACAGCAGCAACCCATGATCCCAGCCTTTTATCTCAAATGGTAGCATTTCAATTTTGGTGGAATCTACCAAGGAAAGTGCCCAAAAGGCCCAAGCGGACAATGTCACTGGCACTTAGTTTACAGTCATACCTCTGTTTACATAACCCTCTGTTTATGTAAACTTTGGGATGCACGCACGGCAAACCCATAATTATTTTACCCCGCAGGCATATGCAGAAGCGGTCTGCGCATGAACAGAAGCAGTCCTCAGGTTGCTGAAACCTCTGGATCCGACCGGACCTCCGGAACGGATCCCATCCGCAACCAGAGGTACCACTGTACTTACAAATTTCTATCCCACTTTTCAAAATGTAGGTCTCAAAAGCGGTTTGCAACATTAAAATATATAGCTAAATCCGTACAGCATGAAACTCTTAATCTCAGGGTTCTGGGTTTGAGCCTCACGTTGGGCCAAAAGATTCCTGCATTGCAGAGTTAGACTAGATGACCCTCGTGGTCCCTTCCAACTCTACAATTATATGATTCTTATTATATTTAATAGGATTTACTTCTGAGTAGATAGTCATAGGATTGCACTGTAAATAAATTTAATTGAGTTTGCTGCAGGAAACAAAACTTAAAACATTATTGACTCAACCTTCTCAATGCTGCAGATCAATGCTAGGAAAATATATTTCCTACTTTCTTATTAGGATTTTTAGTGATTTCCGCCCCCCAGCAAACTTATCTAAACCCACCAGAAAACCGAACATGTATGCACTTTAACCCTCATTTGATTTCCTTGACGTTTTCTACACTACAGTTTCCTCCTTTAGGTTTCCAACCTATTATTTTAGTAATATGGTTCCAGGAGTGCAGTTTGCTTAAATTGGTGCTTTCTAAAATGGCAGATACTACTGGGATCAAGTTTTCACTGTTACATTGCATGTGAATTCTTGCAACATTCCCCACTACCACCCCACAAAAAAGAAAAACAAAACAGTCTCAGCTACTGAAGTGAGGATTTACAGCAAAATTTCCAGTTGTACTTATGAGGGCAAGTATGCAGTGAAGATTTAGCCGCCTTGAGCATACAATGCCTAGAAAGGCAGAGATAAATAATAGTAATGAATAATGATTGTTCTGCCTATCTGCATTGTTCTGAAGGTGTGTGCAACTAAAAAGCTATTTTATAATATTTTGTTTCAGGCTAACTTTTTGTTGTAGTTATCCAGCTAGACTTAAGAATTTATTTGTATTTTTTTGTATTCAAAACAAGAATGTTAAATAATGATAAAAATCCAGTAAGAGAGAGGGAAGGAAAGAAGGTATAGATACGATGATCCTCATGGTCCCTTTCCAACTCTACAGTTCTATGATTTTATGTCTTAATATAGCAGTAATAAATGATTATTGCATACTAAGTGAGCTACAAAAAATGTGCACTTGGTAAAAAATAAAATAAACTTCAAAACATCTTGCATTAAATAGTCATTTGGATGAAGTGAATTACTTTCAGTTGTACTGTTTTTCATAATTTTTATTTTTGATTGTGCACCCATTTTAGCAAATTGTAGGTTATCCCTCTGCATTAGCCATTTGGCTTTTCTAAGCAGTTTGGAAATCCATGCGATGCCACTGATGTGCCTTAGCTCTATGCCTTTTCAAAACAGTAGGGTATTGCAGGGGGTTGGGTTGGATTAGATCAGTGATGGCCAAACTTGGCCCTCCAGCTGTTTTGGGACTATAATTCCCATCATCCCTGACCACTGGTCCTGTTAGCTAGGGATGATGGGAGTTGTAGTCCCAAAACACTGGAGGGCCAAGTTTGGCCATCACTGGATTAGATGATCCTTGTAGTCCCTTCCAACTCTACAATTCCATGATTCACAAGACGTGGCTTGTTTCCTTTTCTAACTGTGGCAAAACTTTTTCTCTTACATTGAGAGAGAGATCAGCATTATCCATGAACTACACTCATAGCTATTTATAGAAAGAAGCCGACTGAAATCCAACCAGAGTTTTGTATGCTTGAACTCATTTGGGAGCCCACAATCTAAATTTAGCCATTTGCAAAGCCAGGTATGTACAATGGCAACATATTGGGCAGGGAAAGATTCACCGTATACCAATCTAGAAATTTCACCAGGTTCATAAATATTAGACAAGCCCCCAAACACCCCTCTAAAACAGAAACAGGGAACCCAAGACTCTTCAGATGATGTTGGACATCCCCAGCCAACATGGCCAGTGGCCAAGGATGATGGGAATTGTAGTCCAGTAACACCTCAAGAGCAACACGTTCCCCACGCCTGCCCTGTAATTGCTGAGTTACAGGTAACCGGTAATGTTGATACAACAGATAACCAGCAAACCAGTTTGAAAATCGCAAATTGGCAGCAACAACACTGCGCCTTGGAACAGACTACCAAGTCCCCTTATTCCTGCCAGTTCCAATCCTGCGGCAGATTTTTGCATGGCAACACAGCTTCGCCAGCCTTCTAACTAGTTCAAAGTTCTGTTGCTGGAGAAAATGCTCCCTGTGGGTAGCAGTAGTATATTATTAAAAGTCACTTTCCCAATTGGTAAAGACAGGTGCTTTGTCGCAGGAGGGGAGGGGAGGGAATTGCCAGGACACCTTAACGCTGGCATGGGCTAGACATCATCTGTGATAATTGCGAGCTACTGTTCTCGTTCACCCATCTCAGCTCAGTTTTTCCTGGGGAGTATGAAGGGAGAGCTCCCTGACTCTGGGGTCCAGGCCAGCAGTGTGCTCTTTGCTTCCCCCTCTTCAAGAAAGGGACAGGATCAATCATACGGGTCCTCCAACCCCCAGTTCCACCACCCCATCCCAAAAGCCAATGTATTTCATCCTGTGGGTCATTTCTGACTCTGGCTCGGAGGTAAATATATGTCTTTTTCTACGCACAGTGGTTTTTTGTTTCGGTCTTTCACACGCTCACATCTTTTGTTTGTTTTTCGTACATTTCCCTTTTATTATTGTCAGTGCCTCTTGGCTTTTTTCTAAAGCCAGCAGAAGACCACGCGGTTTGATTCATGTGGGATCTAATGATTCTTGTCTTGCGGCAATGTATGAAAAGCTAACCCAAGCCTGCAATTTTCCTTTCCCAAGGTCCCTTTTAAGATGCTGATGGTCTGGCATTTGGTATTTTCTTTCTGTTTCTCTTTTTTTCTTTTTCCAGGGTGCCTTCACTTTCCGCGGCAGCATGATAGACATGCCATTACTGAAGCAAGCCCAGAACATTGTTAGTCTTGCCACAGCCATTCAGAAAAAATGATCTGCTAAATGAAGCTTCCCCCTAGAGAGGCTCCAGGAGTGATTTGAAGGCGGATAATATGATAACTGGGAGGAAGAAAAATGCAACCGTTCACACTTCGACAAAACACTGTTTACCTGCCCTTGAACATTGCCACATATTTTTCTTCCTTGTCATGAACCATATATTGGAAAGATCAGAGCCCTTTTCCCATTGTACTCACTTGTTAAGACTCGGCTGAAAACAGAGATTGACTTGTGCAGGGAACAGATACATTAAAAACAACAACCAATGAAATTGGTGCAGAAACCCAAGTCTGATTAATTTTTTACTGTAAGATTTCCAGGCGAAGGGGAATGATGAGCGGCAAAAAAAAAAAAAAAGAGGGCAGAGTTCTCAAACCCTTTACAATCATACTTTGGAACCCGAATGCCTTGCGACTGTAATGTTTCGGCTCCTGAACACCACAAACCCGGAAGTGAGTGTTCCGGTTTGCAAATGTTCTTTGGAAGCCAAACATCCGACGTGGCTTCTGATTGAGTGCAATCCTGCAGCCAATCAGAAGCCGCATCTTGGTTGTCAAATGTTTTCGGAATGGATTCCGAGGTACGCCTGCATAGGCATAGAAGGGGGAGGTAGAGTTTGTCATACAAAAGAGAAAACCCATCCCTCCAAAAAGTCCTCCTTCTGTACAACAGTGGCAGCAATCCTATACACCAGGGGTAGAGAACCTGTGGCCCTCCAGATGATGTGGAACTACAATTCCCATCATCCCATGCTGAGTAGGGATGAGAAGAGTTAGTTGGAGTCCCAACAACATCTGGGAGGGTTACAGGTTCTGCACCTCATTTACACTCCCTTATCTGGGAGTGAGTTTATTATTTGTACCCCACCCATCTGACTCGTTTGCCCCAGCCAATGTGGGCAGCTTCCAATATAGAGCATAAGAAAACATTAAACATTAAGAACTTCTCTATATAGCGTTGCCTTCTAAAAGTTGTATAGTTATTTATCTCCTTGACATCGGATGGGAGGGCGTTCCACAGGGTGGGCGCTACTAATGAGAAGACCCTCTGCCTGCTTCCCTGTAACTTCACTTCTCGTAGTGAGGGAACCACCACTAGACATGTACTGTATAGGATTGCAGTGTATGAAAAGTACGAGAGCTCTGTTTTCCTTTGCAGCCAGTCACTCCAGTGGAGAACAGCCATACATTTGGCCACAGAAGCACTTATCAGAAGGAAACCAGGACCTAAGTACATAGTAATAGTGATCTGAGCTCTCAGGGTGCTGGTCTGTATGCAACCAAAACGGCCCCATCCACATATAAGAGGGAAGCATCAGCAGGTTTGGGGGGACTCCAAGGTTTGCAGTAGTAGTTTAAAACTTTAGGGGGGAAAGCAGCCAGGGGGTGGGGAGAAACCAAATGATAACTGAGCATGCTCAGTGGGCCATGGAATGCTGAGGGTTTGTTGCAGCGGGGAGGACAGAAAACGAGATGTTAGGGGATTGCAGAATGGAATGGAGTATCCTGGGGAAAGGAATGGCTCGCTGGAACCCTGAAAAGGAGCAGTCCACGCTGCAACATTTTGCAATTCCCTTCATAGATTCCTTTGAATCCATGGTAAGCCGTTTCCCAACTCCAGCCCAAGCGGACTCCTGCAATCTCTTTAAAAGTTGCAAAGGGGGGAATTCAGAGAGGGAGGCCGTATTTATGGAAGTTCCACACTGCAACTTTTGAAGGTAGAGGAATCCACTAGGTTTCTGCCCTCCATAATTCTTCCCAATTTAAGTCATTTAAATCTGAAGGCCCGTTGCCTGTTGGATTAATCCAAAATAAACCACCACTTGCTTCTGTAATGATCACCACTAATGGATTTGATTCACCATCCGTGCAATTAAGACCAAGCGTGCAAACTCAAATCCACTTAATATGGATTAGCTAACCCCTTCAGAAGCCTGCAACCAACCCCCTTTGCCTCTAATCCTTCATGATGATGGGTGCGTCACGAATGTTGCTTTACAGGAGATGCGGCACAAGGGAGCTAGAGCGGAATTAGCATTGCCCACAACAGTGCTTTTGAGTCAGGAACAGTGTTAGAAGCTCAGATATGTAAGTTAGGCACCAAATGGCTCTTTAAACCAAGGTTAAAGGTAAAGGTAAAGGGACCCCTGCCCGTACGGGCCAGTCTTGACAGACTCTAGGGTTGTGCGCTCATCTCACTTAAGAGGCCGGGAGCCAGCGCTGTCCGAAGACACTTCCGGGTCACGTGGCCAGCGTGACAAAGCTGCTCTGGTGAGCCAGCACCAGCGCCGCACACGGAAACGCCGTTTACCTTCCCGCTATAAAGCAGTACCTATTTATCTACTTGCACTTTTTGGCGTGCTTTCGAACTGCTAGGTGGGCAGGAGCTGGGACCGAACGACGGAAGCTCACCCCGCCGCGGGGATTCGAACCGCCGACCTTGCGATCGGCAAGTCCTAGGCGCTGAGGTTTTACCCACAGCGCCACCCGCGTCCCAAACCAAGGTTACAGTCACCAAAATGGAATATCTAGTTGCCATTTTGGGGGTAAGACAGTTCTAAAGTCTTTTTTTTTTTTTCAAATGATGGACTGAATGTGAATGATTCTCAGTTAAACATTCAGAGGACTACCTTGAGCTAGGTTAAGAACTTTGAGAACTTAAAGAAAAGTCACTTTATCCAGGCACAGTCCTCAGGGATATTGGCTTATTCCTACCAATCTTTCTTAATGGTGAAAAGGATCATTCATAACATAAGAATATTATTCACATCTGTGAGCGGGGCAGTGGGGTGGGGTAAGTGAAGACAACTACTATAAAACTACTACTAACTATAAGGTTTTCACTGTTCTTGCTCAGGCTGCACAGAAAAAGCATTTTGGTTTCAGAACTTCATTCCAATCATGCAGATAGAATATAAGTGCTAGAATTCCAAAGGATAAGGTATTAGTGTGTGAAAACAGTCCAGATCCAATGATCCCCAGGCATGCACCTCCAGAAGATGGAGGTATCAGGTGCTATCCTGGCACCCAGACATCTTCACTTGGTCTCAAGTGGCCAATAAAAGGTAAGGTAAAGGTACCCCTGCCTGTACGGGTCAGTCGTGTCCGACTCTAGGGTTGTGCGCTCATCTCACTTAAGAGGCCGGGAGCCAGCGCTGTCCGCAGACACTTCCGGGTCACGTGGCCAGCGTGACGAAGCTGCTCTGGCGAGCCAGCACCAGCGCAGCACACGGAAACGCCATTTACCTTCCCACTATAAAGCGGTACCTATTTATCTACTTGCACTTAGGGGTGCATTCGAACTGCTAGGTGGGCAGGAGCTGGGACCGAAAGACGGGAGCTCACCCCACCGCGGGGATTCGAACCACCGACCATACGATCAGCAAGTCCTAGGCACTGAGGTTTTACCCACAGCGCCACCCGCGTCCCCAAGTGGCCAATAGCCAGGTTCAAAATGCATCTGGTGCCTGGCTAATTTTGAACACTGAGCAGGAACTGTCCCATATTTGCCTCTCATCAGACCTGGAAGCAGTACATTTTCTGCCACGACAGACACACATTGAGCAATTCAAGTCATTGCATGATCCGTACACGGCAAGCAATTCGCTCTCTAATAATGTACATGGGAAAAGGTTTTTAAAATCAGCCTTTAAAGATAACTATTCTGCCCGTTAAGTCAAACCATCAGGTTTCCCTCAACGTATCCTGCTTTGCTTTCACAATTCCCGCAAAAGTAAAGAGCAGCTGAATCTCAAAAGTTCCAATGGTTGGTAAGCTCTTTTTCCTAGCTTTCTGAAAACTAGGGCTCAGTAGCATTTTCCAAACTTTCATGCCACTTAAGCCCCTTCAGATAGCCAGACTGCAGTACCTCCCAAACCTTGTGGGGAAACAGTTCTTTGGTCTGCTTTTCCATTAAAGTTTATTGGCAAGGGCAGATTCCGAAATGCATAAACAATTGGGAGTAGAGAACTATGGGTGGTAATTGCTCAATATTGATTAATCCATGGTAGCTGTGTGTGACCTTGTGTATGTACTCAGAAACATTTTGTGGAAAGAGGGATTAAAGATCCAAAAGCATAACACATGAGACTGCCTGACTACTATCAGATCCTTGATCCACCTCGGCTGGGAGTAGGGAACCTGTGGCCTGCGGATATTGTGGTGCTCCAGCTCCCATCAGCCCCCAACATGGCCAGTGGGTCAGGGACGATGTGCGTTACAGGCCAGCAACATCTGGAGTGCCAGGTGTTTCCCATCCTGAATCTAGTCCAGTAGTATGTGCTCTCACAGGCAGTACCTTCAGCCTGGGGCAGAACTCCATCCCAGCCCTGCTACCAGATTTAACAGAGCTGAAACTGAGGAGCATTTCAAACAATGGACTGACTGTGATTGATTCACGGTTAAACATCTGGCTAGTTCAGAGGACAACCTTGAGCTAGGTCATGGGCAGCTGTCTTCCTCCAAATCAAGTATATAAAAATAATTAACCAAACACATTGCAGGTAGCTTGGTTCTGCCCCACCCCCCAACATGAATCCTGTCTACGCCCATGAGCTAGGTTAAGATCTTTGAGAACTTAAAGGAGAAGAGTAACAATCCAGGGACAGTCCACATATATATTGGCCTATTCTGACCTCTTTCTTAATGGTGATTGCTCCTGCTCAGGCTGCACAGAAAAAGCAATTTGGTACCAGAACTTCATTCTGATTATGCAGATAAAATATAACAGAATTCTACAGGATGGAGTATTGGTGTGTGAACACAGTCCAGATCCCCAGGAGGTGAATATGTCAGGCACCATCCTGGTACCCAGGCATCTTTAGTTGGTTGCAAGTGGTTGAAAGCCAGGTGCAAAATGCATCCGGCTAATTTTGAACACTGAACGTGAGACAAAGGCTGGCAACATCAATCCTGCCATGTGGAAATCCCTTGCAGACGACTGCAGTGCCTGGAGACTGGCAATCAGGTCAAGCATCCACAGCAGTGACCAGAGGAG